TTTAACAACTCTGAGCTATTAGTTAAGTTCTCCCCAAACGAGCTTGATGGGCCGAATGGCCTCCTCTCGTTTGTAAATTTCTTATGTTCTTATATAACCTAACTGACTAAATTACACATTTCCTGCTGTGACGGGTCTAACATACGTCTTACATTGGGAAATATAATAAAACGATCAGTGGTATTTATCTATTTTGTCAGTTGCTTTATCTGTTAAATACTATGGATGCATAGAAAGAATGGATGGATGGATATTACATAACTTTAAATAGTACTACATTGAGGGCGTAAAGGCTTAAACAGAGGTGCAGCATACCCCCTATATGTAAATAAACATTGATCAGTACTCTGCTTCTTGCAATAAATTAATCTGATATTTAATATTTCCAGAATATTTTTTGCACCGCTTCATTAACGTCTAAACGGCTGCCGGAGAGTTATTTGAGGTTGAGGAGACACTGATGTGGATTTCATGACGTCACCCCACAAACCAACTGTCCGTATGCCGAAACAGAGAGAAAGTCCGCTTTAAAAGTCCCAATCTTCCCCTCAGTGATGAAAATCTAGCTTAGGCGCTCATTAAAATCCACCACGCTCTACAGCTTTACAGATGCTGCTTTAACAAACTTTCCTCTCAGCACTCCTGGGCAGATGAAGTCATACCTAATCTCCAATGACAAAGAACATGCATTTTTAACATTGTAACATCAATGTTTATATTGGAACTCCAAAGCATAGACTACATTTTGAAATATTGTAATCTTACAGTAGGTGGTCATGAATTGTGTGGCTAAAACACAGAACAAGTTTTAATTAGATCTTCTAAATAAAAGCAACTGAACCTGAACAATGTGTTGTGCCAACTCTTACGTACCTTTGATACATAATTAATATACTTAAGAATTACTGATAGCGAAGTAAGCGTCTTGTATGACGCACTGAAGTTACATAAAGCGTGCTGGGTATCCTCAAGAAGACACGGAAAATATGTCTGTCTTCTAAAAGGAGAAGAGATACTAATGTCTTATATTGCAGTTCATTTTCGCTTAAGTGGACTGGAAGTCTAGTGCTACTTGACTCACGGTAAAACAACAAGACTTCCGGCAGAGTACAGAAAAATCCATTAATTTAGTTGTAAATCTGTATTGCCATAGGAAACATGAAATTTCAGAATATCTGACTGTCAAGTGCTAATACTACATATATAATGCATCCCTAACATCAAAATCACCAGTCATGTAACATATGTATTAGTTTCTAAAAAATGATTTTTTTACTTTCTAAAACAACTCATTATAAATGTACCTAAATTTATAAACAAGTTATTAATTCTTTAGGTCAATGCATTCGCAAGTGTAACGCATAAATGCGATTCTGATTAAATACGAAGGTAAAGATTTAAGTTGGTGTTTGTCGCCCCCTGTTGTTCAGACACTAGCAGCGCAAACGCATTGCGTTTTTTACGGGAAGACACCGCTAGGATAGGAAACAAAACACACGGCAGTGAAACATTTTAGGTCTAATGATTCACCAACAGGCTCTAAGAAGGATTTTTGCTGTTGGGACAGTTTTAATTCGTCGTTTATTCCCGAACATAGTTCCGGCTGACATTTAATCCCTCGCTTTTTTAAAATGCCGCGCAGATCGACTTTTTGCAACCCCTCGTTCACGTGACCGGTGCTTCTGTCAACCATGTGACCAGCGCTGCCGCTGACCACGTGATCAGCCCAGTCATGTGACGTGACTACAAGACATCTGCTTCAACTTTAACGGATGGTGTTGCAATGGTGGCTCAATGCAGAAAAGGGCTCCTTCTGCGTTTGGCTTTTATTAATGCAGTATGGGGTGTTTGTCGCGCGCTAAGCGGCGGGATGCTCTACCCTAGGGAAACGCCGTCGCGGGAGATTAAGGAGCTGAATGGGTTATGGAGCTTCAGGGCTGATTTTTCTCCCAGCAGAGACATTGGCTTTAAACAGGCATGGTTCAAGAGCCCTTTGTCACAGGTAAGGAAATAGAAAAATGTCACTGTGATGAAACGCGTTGGCTTCCGGGTTTGCATTAGGCTATAGAGGGTTTAGATAGCGTTTGGATAAAATGCTAATCTAAGTGCATTACTGTAATGATTATTGGAAAAAGTTACAGTTTTTTGCAACCTGTTGAGGCAATATTGAATAAGTTACTTGTTACCTTAGAAAACATAGGAGTTTATACAAAACTTAACTTAAGACATCACTATTACATGATCATTTGGTTATAATGGAAGTTATTAGCTCTGTGCCGGGAGAGCTTGGAATATGCAATGCCCTTCCCCACCCCCCGTTTCCGGTGTGTGTCGTGTGCAGACAGGTCCTGTGATCGATATGCCCGTGCCTGCCAGCTTTAATGACATTACCCAGGATGCTCAGCTGAGGGACTTCATCGGGTGGGTGTGGTATGAGCGGGAGCTGTGGGTCCCCAGGCGCTGGCTGTCTGATGAGGGGCTGAGGGTCGTGCTGAGGTTGGGCAGTGTGCACTACTACTCTGTGGTTGTGAGTATCCTGCAGTCTTTGTATATCAAGATACCTTTTATACACCATCATTCTGAATTCCTGCTACCCAAATTAAGTCATAGTTTAAGGAAATTGTCAAATTATTTGTGATGCTCGCACAAGAGAGCATACTATTTCATTTCCTTGTGTACATGCACAATGACAATAAAGTTGAGTTTGACGTTAACTTTGAATGCTATAGATGGAAAGAACAGAATAGAATAGAATGTCTTTATTGTCATTGCACATTTTTTTGCACAAAGAAATTTGCAGAAGAGGCTAATAACATCAGCATCAGTCAAACGGTCCCTGGATTCAAACCAACAACCTTCTGATCACAAGTCATCACCTGCTTAGCCACACAACACCCATATTACATTTTTTGGAAAGCATTTCTTTTTAATCAGCTTTCCTTCGTATCTGACAGTGGGTAAACGGAGCTAAAGTGATGGAGCATGAGGGCGGCCATCTTCCCTTTGAAGCGGACATCAGTGACGTGCTCCGGAAGGACCCGGCCGTGTCCTGCAGGATCACCATCGCCGTGAACAACACTCTGACACTGCAGACATTACCGCCCGGCACCATCCAGTACATGAGCGACCCTGAGAGGTAAGAACCCTCCAGTCCGCCGTGCTTCTGAAGGGACGCCTCATTATCTGAGTGCTGGGCGGCTTTGCTCTGCCTCGTCGTAGAGATTAGAATTTAGCCTCTTACATGCAGCGCTGCTGTAATTCCTGACATTCTGATTGGCTGATTAGGCAGCGCTCATGGCATGCTCATAAATTGCATTTTCAGTAATTCATCTATTAATATCCCAATGAACAGGTATCCAATGGGATATTTTGTGCAGAACACAAACTTTGATTTCTTTAACTATGCTGGGATACACCGTCCCGTGTTGCTGTACACGACTCCGAAGGCACACATCGATGACATCACAGTGCACACCAGCTTTGCTGACAATATCGGTGAGTATGTGTGGCTGTGTATGGTAGCAGAGATCTTGTGACCTTACTTGGGCTCAGTGTTTCTTTTGTAATGTTACAGGGATTATAGACTACCAGATCTCCATCCTTGGGAGTCCAAACCCAAAAGTAACTGTAATGCTGGCAGACAAGGAGGGCCGCTGTGTGGCCAATTCCACTGGAGTATCAGGGACCATCAAAGTGCTGGACGTCAACCTCTGGTGGCCCTATCTGATGCATGAAAACCCCGGGTATCAGTACTCCCTGGAGGTATGAATGCCCCTGTTTTTTGCACCAGGTATCCCCGAGGAACTGTGTATCATGTGACAGTATCAAATTAGTAATGTGTCACCTGTGGATGAAACTGGCCCTGAGCAGGACCCATAGCCACCCCCCCACTGCTGTTCAGTCCTGCTATTATTACTGTAATAAATATTAATTATTTCCTTTGGGTGCTCTGGTTGCCTCCCACAGTCCAGCGACATGCGGTTATGCTAACTGCCCCTCTATTTAGTCCACAGAGTATGAATGCAGAGTATCTACAGACCCAAACACCTGCATGTGTCCCTATTACAAAGAAGTATTTCCAATCAAAGTGAAGATTATTACCAGTGCTGCACTGGAGTTCCGTCCAGGGTGTCCCCTGCCTTGTGCTCTGTGCTTTCTGGGATAACAGCAAGGTTCACTGTGCTGCTGGAATGGATAAGCAATTAAGGAAGATGAATGGCACAGACAGCTGGAGTTAATGGGGGAATTTCTCTGTTGCAGGTGCACATGAAGGCAGAGGGCCATGACTCACTGTATGAGGACTTCTACTCCCTGCCTGTCGGCGTCCGCACAGTTCAGGTGACCAAGAGCCAGTTCCTCATCAACAACAAGCCCTTCTACTTCCACGGAGTGAATAAGCATGAGGACGCTGATGTAAGTTCCAGCAGGGGGCAGCCTTCTGCAGTCCCACACTGCACTGAAATGAGGTCACACACTGCATTTTGGTTCAGTACATTTCTACGAGTTGCATCGATCGTTTTCCGTAATGTTCTGGTTTTGTACCATATTTGAAATGCTATTGCTAATTGGCATGTCGTGTGGCCAGATACGAGGGAAGGGTCTGGACTGGCCCTTGCTGGTGAAGGATTTCAACCTCCTCAAATGGCTGGGCGCTAACTCCTTCCGGACAAGCCACTACCCATACGCCGAGGAGGTCCTGCAGATGTGTGACCGCCACGGCATCGTGGTCATAGACGAGTGTCCTGGTGTGGGCATCAAAGATATGTGAGGCCCCGTCTCATTCTGTTAGTGGGGTTGGCCCGATGTCTGTGCCTGTCTTGAGACTTGTCTTGTGAGTAGAGATGCACTGATACTGATATCGGCATTGGGTCATACTCTTAAAACTTCTGATACCAAGAACCGACACCACTTAATTGCAATATTACTTATAACTCAATGCTGCTGAGTTTTTTTTTTTGCTGCCCAATCAGATTTTGGTATCTAGTGAGAGATTTGTCAGCCTTATTAGTCTAATTATACCTGATTGCGTATTGGACTGCTTATGCCAGATTAGGTTGTTTTTTGGTATAAATACTGCCTTAAGCACTCATATTGGCAAGTACACAAATGTAAGTACTTGTACTCAGTCTGAAAAAACTGGTATCGGTGCAACCCTACTTGTGAGCCGACCTTGTCTGGGTCACAAAGACCCACTAGAGACCTGCTGTAAAAGCCATAATCAGCTGTTCATTTTATTTTGTAGCACATGAATGATGTGTACCTTAAGTGTATCTGTCTAAATTTCAGACGCAGCTTTGGAAACGCTTCTCTTGCCCACCATCTAGTGGTGATGGAGGAACTGGTGAGGAGAGACAAAAACCACGCCTCCGTGGTCATGTGGTCTGTGGCCAATGAACCAGCTGCTGAACTGTCCCCAGCCAGCTACTATTTCAAGTAAGGAAGCATGTGATTTAAGATGGTTTAATACTGCCTTTAATGTGAAATAATGCTTTGAAACAGCTGCGTGTGATGTAGGGGACTTACAACAGCTTTTGCAAAACAGGCTGTTATACAAAGGAAGGACATGCAAGCATGCAGTTCTGTCTTGTGCAGTGTGTCTGAAGAACATACAGTAACCCCTTCACATTTGCAAATTTGACATCTGTGGTTTCAGTTATTTGCTGTGAACAATTAAACAGGAATATTTTGGGAGCTTGCTGAAAGATCGCAGAAACTCGCAGATAACGTGTAAGCCATTGCAGGGTACAGACACTGCAGGGTACAGACACTGCAGGGTACAGACACTGTACACTGCCGAGCTCCGTGTACATTGAGATTCAATGAGAAGGTGACCTTTTCTCACCCGACCTCTCGTAAGACAGATGAGATGTGCTGTAGAGAAGCCCTCTATAGAAGTAGTAATCATACTAACCATCTTTCAAAGTTAACATTTCAATTCAAAATTACGTATTACTATTAATAATTAATGCATTTAAAAAAATTACATGCTTATACATTCATGGTCACATTTTTCTGGGGGGGGGAGCCCTGTGCAGGTGGCTTGTGCCCAAATGCCGGTGGTGACACAGGGACCCCCCCCCCCATGTGACATCGCCGTCCTGTTGGCCCAGCTCTGCTCACTCACTGCCTCCGTTGCTTGCAGGACGCTGATCTCGCACACCAAAGCTCTGGACCCCGTGCGACCCGTCACCTTCGTCTCGAACAGCAACTTTGAAAGGGACAAGGGGGTGAGTGGGGGGAGGGGCAGGCTGGTATGGTACCCAGGGGAAACACTAATGGCTGCTTGTCAATCAGCCTTTGAGATCCACCCTCAGAGGCCCGTGGGGAAAGAAACTGTCCATTACTAGACTAGCCTTTGTGTTCATGACAGTGTACTGGCCTATCGCCCATTATTACAGTGTGACATATAGCAGCTGTATGAAGCATATAGCTGTGTGTTGTTTGTCCAAAATGGCTTTGAATGCTGCAGCATTAACAGTTCCTTTCACTGGAACCAAAAACAACCCCACACCATAATCCCCCCTCCGCCAAACTTTACACTTGACACAATGCAGTCAGGCAAGTACTGTTCTCCTGGCAACTGCCAAACCCAGACTTGGCCATCAGATTGCCAGACAGAGAAGCGTGATTCATCACCGCCACGGCATCCATGTCTCCACTGCTCCAGAGTCCAGTGGCAGTGTGCTTTACACCACTGCATCCGACGCTTTGCATTGCACTTGATGATGTAAAGCTTGGATGCCGCTGCTCGCCCATGGAACCCTATTCCATGAAGTTCTATATGCACTGTTCCTGAGCTAATCTGAAGGCCACATGAAGTTTGGAGGTCTGTAGCTATTGACTGTGCAGACAGTTGGCGACTTCTGCACACTGTGCGCCTCAGCATGCGTTGTCCCCGCTCTGTGATTTTACATGGCCTAACACTTCATGGCTGAGTTGTTGTATTTCCCAATTGCTTCCACTTTGTTATAATATCACTAACAGCTGACCATGGAATAGTTAGTAGCAAGGAAGTTTCATGAATGAACTTATTGTACAGTTGGCATCCTATCACGGTACCACACTTGAATTCACTGAGCTGCTAAGAGCGACCCATTCTTTCGCAAATGATTAGGAGGGGTGTCCTAATACTTTTGTCAATATAGTGTAGCTGCTGTATGAAGCGTGTAGCTGTGTGTGTGTGTGTGTGTGTGTGTGTGTGTGTATACAGTATATATATATACGGTGTGGTATATAGCTGCTGTATGGGGGTATAGCTGTGGTGTTTCCGTTCTGCCTTCCCCTGCAGGCTCCATATGTGGATGTCATCTGTGTGAACAGTTACTTCTCCTGGTACCACGACCCGGGACACTTGGAGGTGATTCCCATCCAGCTCAGAAGCCAGTTTGAGAACTGGTACAGGAAGTACGAGAAGCCCATCATCCAGAGCGAGTATGGCGCGGATGCCGTTCCAGGCCTGCATGCAGTGAGTGCTCGGCATAAGACAGCACTTCCTGTTTTGGAAGGATCCTTAGATACCTTCTCTGCTAGAATCTACACCCTCTGACACCATGGATCCAACACAGCACCTACAACAACATAAAGTCTGAGCACCATAACAGTTATGTAATTACTCATAACGCATCCATACCTTAAAGTCCTAAAGTACAGCCTGTTACATTCTGGCCACACTCTTCTGTTAACTGAAAATAAACTGACTTCTTTATATACAAGCAAATGATTCACCCACCCCCACCCAGGACCCCCCCATGATGTTCACAGAGGAGTACCAGAAGACAGTCCTGCAAAACTACCACGAAGTGTTTGACGAGAAGCGGAAGGGTTACGTCGTCGGAGAGTTGATCTGGAACTTTGCAGATTTTATGACGGCGCAGTGTAAGTGGCCGGTGGGCATGGCTGGCATGGCTGGCTGTACCTGCGTGTTTGTCTGGGCTGCTGGTGCTCGCCTGCGGTTTGCCGACTCGGCGAGAGTCATCACGGCCCTTCCAGCCCTTCCAGGCTGGTGTCTGACCTGCTTCTGCAGCCGTTTAATGTGCTTGTACTCCATGACATCCATGACCTGAAAGCTGAACTCGCAGGCTATTGAAAACGGTCTCTCATGCCTGACACTGCAGCTTCCCTGCAGGGCATTGGCTCACTGCCAGTCATGCCGGCTGAATTAACGGCATTCCAGATGGCTCCGTTACGGCTCTCTGACCAGTCCTGTTTGCTGACTAATGGTGGTGTGTCGTGTTGTTTTTGTTTCGTTTTATATCCTCAGCTATCACCCGTGTGGTTGGCAACAAGAAGGGCATCTTCAGTCGCCAGCGGCAGCCCAAAGCAGGGGCGTTTTTGCTGAAGGAGCGTTACTGGAGGTTGGCCAATGAGACAGGGGTCCTCCCACCCTGGACCAGATACCCCTGCCACTGAGGTCATCAGTCACCCCACCAGTGCCTTCTCTGACCCAGACATGCTGGAGGACAATTTCTACCAGTTAATTAGTCACTTCTCTTCGAATAGGGAACCAACCTACTACACTTAAAAATGGGAATGCGTATGGCAATTCTTACGAATACAGATATAACCCCCCCCATCATGAGTGCCCCATTGGGCAAATGAACAGGGACCCCCACGGACTTATTACTGTGGAGCTAAAATTTTTTATGATGGACAATTAAGTGATTTAAGGATCTCAGGGACAACATGGGCTTTTTATTTTTAAAAACAGATTTCTATGTGTATACATGTTGGAATGTGTCTAAAGTCAACATTTAACTAATCCATCGTACCACAGAGATGGAGGTAGCCTTCTCGTGTCAAGGCCTCCGCTTTGTTTTCTCTTGGAACTCAAGCAAGTTAAACTATTGCTGAAAACATTCGAAGGCCAGGCCTGTCTTGGCCTTGGCATGTAAAACTGTGAGCATTTTATGGTTTATTCACACTAGGCGATCTGTACTGTGCCTGAGCAGGTTCCCCCCCCCGGAGTCCAGTTCGTATGACTAGTGTGCTCTCTCTGGACGCAGACCACGCCCAGGCACGCTTGAAGAGGTGGACACGGTACCCATCTAGCGTTATCGCCAACCGTGGCCGGAACACAAGCATGACGCAATTGCCATACACACGCACACATGCACATGATTTTAAGAAAAAAAAAAACGTTTTCAGTTAACTCTCCTTCATAAACAGCACCGTATGCTTTAAAGTTTAAACTCTACATGTTTGACATTTTCATTACCCATGTTACATTTAACAACTTCTGTGAGAAATTTGGAAGTGCACTCAAGTTTTTAAAATCATGTCGGATAAATGTCGTGAAATCGCTGAAGCAGGCCAGAGCGCTGGCCCAGTGCCCTGCTGCAGACTGTCACCTTACTCCAAATGCATATATGCAACATCTGCTACATTTCAAAGTGGGTGATTTTGAGAGAAAAAAAAAGTGATTTGTGTTGTGCAAATAAAAATAATTTTGTCATCAAATTTACAAAATACCGTGAATCACAGAATGTGAATAATTTGTTAGCTTATGATCTGACCTAAATCCTGTATTAATATTAGTGCCGTCTGTCAGTTCCACACTATCTTCTCAATTTTTTTATATGCTTAAGACCTCTTACCCATCGCCTAATAGAGCAAATGGATTTATGTGAAAGCTCCCATTTGAGGTCAGGTAAATAGGACACGGGACGTGTAGAAGGGAAGAGTCACTTCAGAGGGAATGTTTTAATGTTTGACGATTTCCACACAACAACAACAAGGATCCAAGCATCACGGTGACTACGCCGTCAAATAGTGGATCTTACATCATTCCGGGGCTCCGTCCTCCAAGCCACCATTAACACTTTATGTAAGAAAAGACAGCATTTAAACAACAGATATTTGGCAAATACACCAGCAACCGCCCCCTCCCCCTGACCCCCACCCTGATTCATTTAATCATCTACTAAAAACACCTGGTGTTAAGCTCATATAGTTCAAGTGCTCAGTGATGGTATTTTGCCCCTGTGTACAACATGAGGAGAGAAATAACAGCTTCACTAGACAGACAGAGACAAAGCACCCATAATCCTAACAGACAAAAATGTGAGATTAAAAAAAAATAGAGTTTTAAGGAACAACCTTACTACAAAACAAGGTTTTAGTGGGCAATCCTTTCCCCCAAAATGCCCGTTACGGCGAATAACGTGTGGAGGATTTGTGACAATCGGTATATTTCCAAACGAAGCTGACAGAAGTGCCTGTTTAACACTCATGAGAAGGCACTCTTTGGACTGATCAGCATTCCAAGACAATCCACTGTTGCTGACACATTAGCACATACATTAAAACTGTTCTTTATACCATTTTAAACTTCCTGTTACATGTTAGTAGGCTCCAAAACCACTGGACTTCACTCTGGAAGCTTCTATCTGGTGGAAAATGAACAAAGCTGACAACTGTCCAATAATAAAAAAAAATAATAAATTATCTCCCAGAAAACAACCCATGTGAAGCTCATCATCTGCAAGTATCACAGTACAACAGTGCACATAAGCAAGTACTTTACAGTGTATGTCCAAAAATTAAAATTACATGACAGCACAGTGATGACTTCTAAAAGATGTAAACGTTACCCAACAGCATGTTAGACAACACGGATGAGGCATGTCCACCTTTCTGACACAACTACAAATAACTGCAGATAAACACCAGAACTCTTATTTATTCCATTGGCTGTTTCCACCCAATTCACCTCCAAGCATAAATTTTGATTAGATTTAATTTTTTTGGCATTTTCCAGGTATTCAACTCTGTGTCAAATGCTAGACCCCTTTCATTAAGGTTACTATCACCTATTTAAGTGACGATTATGGGTTTCAACTTGTAATACATTACACCACAGTTTAGATGGATTTACATCTAAGCTGCACTGACCGTGTATGCAATTCACTTAGGAAGACACACAGAACAGGAAATATTAGAAACGTATGTATTGATGGAAGTTAAAAAAAAAAAAAAAAGGATGTATTTAAGCACCATTATCTTAGTACTATTAGCATAAAATCCGTCAAATTTGATGCTTCTTAAAAGAACCAGATTAGAATCCAGAATAACCTTTGTTGAACATTTATTCTGACAGTATCAGTGAAGTACTGTACATTTCAACAACACACACATATGGACGGAGCCCGGGGATGATGAACACAGACGAGTACACAGACACCACGGAGATGCCCTCAGCCAATGAGAGTACACACTGACACCACAGGAATGCCTTTCAGCCAATGAGAGAACATAGAGACCACAGTGTTGCCCTCCAGCCAATATGATTTCTGAACTTTTTTTGTATGCACATTTTGTGCAAAAATATACATTTACAGACGATCATATCAGCCTGGGTTTCTATGGGTAGGCAGCGCCAACAGCTGTGGACTGACTCTGCTCCTCTGGAAGAGCTCTGCTTTAACAAAGAACTTCAGTGGAATCTTTAATAAAACGCAGAACGGTCATCAGGCTACACAGAGGATTTCTGTATTGCGGTTGGTGCACACACACAAACACTGGGACATCACCATCACTGCAACAAAGGGACCCCACCTTGGGCCTGCTTGACTCCCCACGATCTGAATGGTTCTGTAGATCCATCACAGACCTCACTGAGGAGTTTGCAAGGTTTTTAAAAGCATTTATATCCTCAGAGATAAGCGATTTAAAAAAAAAAAAAAAAAAAAAAAAACAGATCTCAGAATATAAACCCCGCAAGAGGAATAATCGTCATAGGCACACGATTCTGTGATGAGCGTGACGTCCAGATTCAGGAGTTGTACCTCGGCCAAATCCGACTCTGAAGATAGATGGCGGATGAAACGCCCCAAGTCCCTTTGAGCCGTGGCCCCTGTGGGATTTCAAAAATGGCAAGAGAACTTCACTCTTCCATACAACAGAGGACAGCGTGCTTCATTCCTAACCTGGATGGCGGAATATGACACACACACATACACACACACAAATTTGGTAGTGCAATCATTATCCTACCAGATGGCGACTTTTTAGATTTTGGTCAAAATGAAGACAAGCTAGCCTGGAACTGCCTTCAGCAGCCATTCTGAGAAGTGATTGTGCCTCAGTGGTCCTCTTCAAATCCATAAACTCAAGGTATCTGGAGGTGCAATTAGTCACTACCATTTGTCAGGAAACCGTATCTAGACTATAAAACAAATTGATCATGCATTTACTTATCGCCACGATTCTCTCCCTACAAGTTTAGGCCTAAATGATTATTCGCCCTATCCATTTATGTACTGCTAAATCCACTTGCGTCCTCCACAGTCACTACTGGAGCATTCCACCAGCGCTTGGTCCTTCATGTTCTCCAAACCCCGTCCCTTACAAAATAGTCATGTGGGGGCAAAAAAAGAAAGACAAGAATGTCAATCTTCCTTACATCCTTCCTTTTATGTGACATGTGATCTCTGTCCCACAAAATAAGTGTTTGAACTGCAAAAGAAATTGTTTGGAAGCAAGATCTCCTGGTGGTGAGTCAGAAGTTCAGAGGTCACGTCTTTGTTGTTTTTTTTTTCCTGATTTAGTCCCTCTTGGTTTGAAGTTGCTGCTTCCAAGCCTCGTTCAAGTAAACCAGTCGCTTATAGTTGAGGACGAACAGGATGATGTTCAGAAGATATGTGGTGATGCAGATGAGGCATAAGTCCTTCAAGACGAAATAGAGAATGTAGGCTAGATACAGGGAGCCCAAAACGGATGCGATGGACGTGGTCATTAAGATCAGGGCAGCCACTGCGCTGACAGTCATCCCTGCAAGACACACACAGAAGAGACCATTAGAAAGGCTTTTAAAACACTGTGCCTTCTCTGTGATTAATACCATCAATTCCTTTGCCATGCAACTTGATCATAAGAAATAAAATAGCAATGTAAGTTATCCAAGATTGGACCTATTAGTGGTTCACCCTGGGCAGCTACACTAATAAAACTAAAGACCACGAACCATCCGAGTTTGGACTGATTCTTTATCAGAACCCTGGAGCACATGGACCCTGGGCAGCAAAAATTTCATACACAGGAGAGTACTGATAAATCTTACCGGTCATACTAAAGCGACCCTATGGAATGAAGACCACGAAGGGCCGATATGAAGACCACGAAGGGCCAAGAACTTTTTACCAGATTCAAGAGTTTGCAATATTTGAATGTCCTAAAACAGCTTCGGTGCCCCATATCACAGCTCTTTCCTGTTTTTTTTTTTTTAGGGGCAATAAGTGTATCTATCACATACACTACAAACGCAAGTGAGAACATGAGAAGCCTATCCTATAGGTCTCGTGTGACCTCTGCACGTTGGACCCAAACGTCACCACAGACGGTGACGGCCACCACAGGCTATTTTCCATGTACGCAACAGCTCTCTTTCGGGGATGGCATGCATGAATTTCATGACTTTACTCTATGCAAAAGGGAGAAGTATGACCTTTCAGGGTGTTTGGCTAGAGCTGTGACACAGGGGACCAATGGTCTTTGAGGTGTAGTGCAGACCTTCAAACCTCCATTTGTACACAGCAATTCATACTGAAATTGGCGGAGGGAGGGAGAGAGAGAGAGAGACTAACTTTACTTTTACCAGCGGACGCGGAAGTGTATTCAGAGTATGAAGAGAGTAATTCTGAGTTACTAAAGTGATGACCTGCTCAGTGATGAGCATGTGCTAAAACATTTCATCTCTTTGGTTGACAAAATCTTTTGGGCACTGGAGGACCTGCACTCCATTTTCTGGGCACATATTGCAGTTTTTCCACTAGCATATAGGAACCAGGCTGCACCTGATTTGTACCACAAAGAGACACTAGTTACAATGTGGTTCTAGTTCACTACATTTTCCACTGCAGATGCGTTTGCTTAATAAAAAGGCTTTGCTGGGATTGGAGAGTGACAGTGATGTGAAACCGAAGATGCGCTTATTTACTGTTCTCATGCTAATTTCTGTTAGCACGGGAGAATGGCCGTGTTGTGCTAGGATCGAATGCTAGTGGAATTAGCATTAGCTTGTGTAAATTGGCATTACGAATCCATTTCATTCTGCTGTTCTATAGTACTTTAAGCAGGAGGTTGGACATTTTCAAGTTCCGAGTTATTGGTAATGCATGAATACGTCGCAATCTGCAATTATATATAGAATATGCCCTTTTTTCTTTCAGATAATCCACGCATATTGACAACAACTACCAGTATCTCCGTGCATTTCGACCAGTCGATGTCAGTGACACAACCAGCACAGTATGGGCTAGTTCTGCTTTCGACCCTGCTATTAAGCAAGGCCATGTGACAGCATATACAGGTTGGGTATGCCTCACAATTTACAGCTTACAATGGAGAACCATCTTTGTGGTATGGGTCGGATCTTAAGGCAGTGGAAAAGCGCCAATAGAGAACTATATATTTGCCCCAACAAATCTGATTGGTTGTCATGAAGGAAACCATTCTACACACCTAAGAAGTGTCTAAATCCCCTTAAAAACAACAACATGTACATCTGAGGTCTAGGGGTTTGCACTTCTGAGAGGACATCACCAGGCTGGTCACTGGTGACAGGAAAATCTAGTAACGACGATTCAAAACCAGTCTATAATTGTGGAAGAGGATTTCAACACTATCGCATGACAGGATTCATGAACTGTGAACAAGTTGTTCAAGTTATGATCGAGCGTGTCACATTTACCATGCCGACAGACAAAAAAAAAAAAAAAAAAGACACCACACCTTAAAAGTTCATTGAAAAGCTCCTTGAACAGTACTGAGAGACATATACCCAGTGCTGAGCCTTACCAATCGATTCTAGGATGACAGTGTACATCAGAATTTCGGTCTATAAATAAAGACCAACAGCAGCAAGAGGACAAAGGGCAAATTATCCTCCATGAGCATTAGCAACTGAACAACAAGGGCTGGAAAATAAACTGGGCTCTTTCAACAGGTAGCGACTCCCTTGGCAGGCTGGACCCACCACACTACACAGTAAGGAAACGCCAGGTAACAGTCATTTCCGTGGACTTGTACCATTCCAGAAAAAAAAGACATTTGATTTTAAATTTTGTAAATGACCCGTAATGAAAAGTAGCATATGGTTTGGCATTATTGTAGGTTGTACTATTCCTGCCCCTAATGTGAATGGTTTATCTATTGGACGCTAAACCAAGGGACAGTGCGGAACATACAGCTAAAATGTGTACAGCATTTATTATTAAGGGTGAACTCTCAATCCACGCCAGATGAATCACAGGGGGAAAACGGTTCTCCCAGAAGGGAGGTTAACGGTAAGTATAATTAATAACGTGCCACCAGGATGATGTCACACTAACCCCCGCCCCCCCCCACCACACCCACACACACACACACACACACACACACACACACATACACACACTTTTCACAGATTATCCACTGGTGTGGCTCACTACTCCTTCAGTACATGGCTTGACGAACTTGGGAATTTAAAGTTCCAACAATGGCACACGGTGTTTGAGGGTCTTGTCAGGCACCAATTGGAGCCCAACCCTCATTGGTGCCATTCAGGACAGGGGCCGCTGCCCCCTGCAGTCCTGCGTGCTTCATCTCCCCTCCTGCAATAACTATGCAGCATGATAGGAGGTTCCCTTGAGCATTTCAGCAATTCCAACACACCTGCTCTGCAGACGTGATCATGGCCCATTAAAAAAAACAACTGCCGGCTGAAACCAGCTGATGTGATTTACATTGGGGGAAAAAAAAAACAGAAGCTCTTCTGGGTGAATTTGTTTCTCTTCCGTTTTGAGCGACACTACTGGCTTGTGAACTTCCAATAAATCACACTTACCTAGTAACAGCTGCAATCCATAAAAGAAAAGCCCGTAGACACTGTTTGGCTGGTTCAGCACACTGTTTGTGCCGAAAATGGACCCCAACAGGCCAAATCCTTGACCCCACCTACAAAGAAACAGTAGAAGGTTTAGGGAGATGTTTGAGCATAGCTGCTCACATCCCACTGCTTTATGGTTTCTTTTCTGAATTTACCACCAAATGTTACAGCAAGTCTCTGAGCCAGTCATCATATAAAGATGACAAAGCTTTAAAAGGCTATAGCCAGTACAAGGTCAGGCTGCATGTGTGCGGGAAGATTCAGGTATCATACATCTACACACAGCAAAGGACTCATCGGAAGGCAAATGGAAAATCTATATCCTACTAAGTACGGCCACAAATTTAAAGCAACACAAGGAAAGAAAAAGGGTGTCTGTTCCCATATGGTCTCAAATGACTCAATTTTAAGGCAACAGAAAGCCTATTAATAACACTCATGAGATTTAGTCATTGTCAGAAAAAGGGTTCATTAAAATATGTTAGGAAGCCAGCCACTCATACCAAAGTTGGCTGGCTCAAACTTAGATTAAAAACTCCAATGTGGCATGCAAACACGGCAACCTTTCCTTTCTTTGTACATACTGAAATGTCTGTAGGCACCAGAAGATTTACAAATATTGTTAACCAGATGGAAAAGCATTGGGGCCGGTTCAACAGCTATTTGCCGTGTGATTTCCTGAAATGCACAAACAGTGGCTAAGCACAGTCTGCAAGGAAGAATGCAGTCTCCAGTCTCAAAAAGTACACCTGGTAAATTACTACAAGGAAAAGGCAAAAGTTACTTCAAAACAGATTCTGTTTAGTTCATGGCAAAATTACACAACAAGTTATGTAATCAGGAATGATATCCATCCGTCGGCCCATCATTCTTCTACACCCAATAAATTCTTTGTGCCTTTTTCTAATGACTCAGCACCTCCCAAACAGACGTCTAAAACTTCAAGGTAGCACAGTGGCTCAGCGCATAGCACTGCCACCTCACAGCTCCATGGAGTGAGATTGTGCATCAAAGGGTACATCCATGCAGAAAATCATCCTGTCCAGGGTGGGCCCTGCCCTGTGTCAGACTTGCACCCCGTCCAGGGTGGGCCCTACCCCGTGCCCTATGCTGCCAGGCATAGGCTCCAGTCCCCCAGCAACCGTGAGCAGGTTAAATGATTCATTTATACAAAATGGCATCAACAGCCAGCCACATTTTCCTTCTTATCGACACATCGATGGTCACGGCACAGGATATCAGTGTGACTTATCTAAGAACAGCATACAGAAGAACTTCATCCTAATTTCAAATACAGCTAGTCAGTCAGTCACCGGGTACATTACTTAGTGTCCATGATTCCCTCCACTCACTCAACATAAGCTAAGACGGGACAAGGAATCACACCTGAATGTGCTGAAAATGTGGATCAGGTTAATTGTATTTCTATTTGTGACTCAATAAATATCAGTCACAAGACAGCCTATACAATGGTTGCTTGTCGATGCCCAGCTGCTTCCGATGACTTCTACTTTAATCTCTCATACCATGAATGCCACGGCTGATTCACCGCAGCAAACTGTCCCGTTCTTATCTTCACTGTTCTACATACAAACCCACAATTTAGTTCTGCTAGACGTATGGACACCATGAGCAGGAGACCCATAAACCCTAACCACCTCCAAACCCTCGCGCGGCCCTCTTATCTCCTCCGATGACGGTTCAGTTTAACATTACGCAAAACAGCGACCCGCCAAATCAATAGCGCAGGTAAAGGTCCAAAGTATCGCGCAGCACCGTCGGCACATCTCCCCGGGCCGGGGCGGCGGGCAGGAGCGACGTGTCCGGGCCCCAGTGCACACAGCCGCCGGCCTCCAGCTTCCTAGCGAGTCTCTCCTTTACGGTGACAAAGCGATAGTCACATCTGAAAAAATATACATACTATACAGGAGTATACGAATAAATATATAATCAAATAGCTGGAAAGTCTCGCGGTGCGTCCGGAGCGCATCGAACTCACCGGCCGCCGGAGATGAATAAAAAGGGACCGAGACGTTCATCCACCGTAAATGCGGTGTTATTAGAAATATATCGTTTAAAAATCGCTACTCAGATGTCCCCAGACTACATCCGCACTCGGCTACCCGCACAGAGCCACTTCAGCTCCGCAGGCGGCCACTGGTTTCCAACCCAAACATGCAGAAAAGCGGCGCCCGGGCCGGAGCCGAGCTCGCCGGGGGTCCCCGCGCAAGGGCCGCCGACAGCCGAGGGGGCCGTATCCCCATTCCACCCGGGCTTCACCGTGAGATGCCCGCTGGTCGGCGTCAGGTCAGACCCCTTCCGGAGCGGCCGTGCCATGGCGGCCTCCACGCCGCCCCCCTAGCCCTGCTTCCCCGGAGCCCGGCTGACAGGCGGCGGCCTCACCTGGAGGTGAACACCTTGGAGCAGCTGACAGAAGCGCCCATGTCGCACATGGCCTGGTAGTCGGGGTCCCGCGCCTTCTCCCGCTCCACATGGAAGGCGTAGAGGGACAGCAGGGCCCCCAGGAGGCAGACCAGCAGCCGGGCTGTCCGCTCCCACCGCGGGGTGGACACTCTCAGCACGGGCGCCGCCATCTTTAATCGGCCTCGCTAAGCTCTGGCCGCCGCCTGGCGCTCGGGGCTCCGGGAGCTGCGACTTTACGGCGCGCCGGGGGCGTGTCAGGCCGGGGACGAAACCGCCGTTCCGTGTAGAGAGCGGGAGCGATCCGGCGGCACCAGGGAGCGCGCCGAGGCCGGGAGCCTTTACCAGCGTTTACTCACCTCCATTTCGGGTTATAAATTAAAAGCTCGCCCGATGTGAGATGCTTAACTCTAACAGAACCAAAAATATGTGCTCTTAATATCCATCAGTCACGAGTCACTTCCGGTTTGAATGTTCGGAACGTTTCGAAAGCGTTTGTGACGTCACAAGGCCACTGGGATGATGTTTGTAACCAAATACCCCCCCCCCCCCCCCACAAAAAACACCTGACTCGGCGAGGTTTTACGTGGACCCCCTCATATTAATGATCTGCATTTAATCGCGTATTCAGTATATAAGTTGTATTTCTAACCTCTTGTTTCATATTCAAAATAACAGGCATACACATATATGTTTTATTTTGATTGGGCATAAGTGTTAATGAGTTTCCTTAATGCCTTCATAATACAAAAGTTTGTAAACTGAAACAATAACACTGAAACTTGGTGAAATTAGGTTGGGGCAATGTACCCTTGGCTTTCAAATAATCACTTGTTAATTATACTCGCAGAATTTGGTGAATGCTTATTCGCAAACATTTGTTTTCACGACTTCGATCATTTGTAAATCGGCTGTTAAAAGTATTTCATAAAGCGTGAAATACAGTTCTTAATTTTGAATTATTTTCTCCTTATGTTTACGAACCCAATTGGTTATCGTACTATACAAAAGTTTTTAAAGAGTAAATTCTGATAAACTTTATTGACCCCAGGCGAAAATTCTTGTGCATACAGCAACAAGTACATAGAGCACAGACAAACATGCATACATAGTTCAAAACACAAAATACAAAGTGCAAAGACAGTACACATACAAAGAAATAAACGTAGTGCAGGTAAATGAAAATGCACACAGCACAAAACTAAATATCCGGAAACCAAAACAATGGAATTGGAAATAAATCAATAACATTGACATAATAATAATTATATCTGATTATTTAAGCACAACAACAATAACAGTACATTATCGAAGGTAAACAGATTAGAACATAAGAAATTTACAAACGAGAGGCCATTCGACCCATCAAGCTCGTTTGGGGATTGCACCAGATTTGTACAAGAAGTCTTGGCTAATTGATTTCATTACTCCAGATGTGCAAATCTGTGGAATATGTTTTTGCTTTGTAACTTTGTCTTCGTTCACATACATTTAGCCCTGTCTACCTTAAATCCAATAAGTCATATAATCAAGAACTTCTTCTTCGTGATACAGGCCCCTGGTTTAAGATAGACTACAAAAGAGTGATCTCTGGTGGCTTTTAGCTGATTTTTTTAAAGGGACAAAGCAATTGGGTTTAAACTGCAGGCTCAGAGACATGCAAATTGCGTTCAGAAAACCACGGCACTTAGTTTTAAATTCTAAACTGCAGTTAAGCAAATGACAGAGCATCTGGTAGTGGGTTTTTCCCTTATGGGGTGTTTATTTACGGGATCCTTCAACAGCACTTGTAAGGAGCCAATCACAGCTCACCAGGGAAGGCCAATCATAGGGCAGCGTTTCGAAGCGAGACACACGTGACGTACACGCCTGTTGTCAGTAACGTTTGTTTATAAACACGTCCCGCACGACTCTAGCAAGTAATGGCCTCGGATATCGAGACGTTAACCTCTTTCGAAGAGGAGCACTACGATCAGTATGATTATTATAATCTGATCGAGTACCCCTGCCATGCCGGGGGAAAAGGCAGAACCAAAAGGGAAATAGGAATGAACACGAACCGCCACTCTCCTGCTGGGCACGAACGAAAAATAGCGGAGAAATACCACAACAGCGAGATGAAGCGCAGGAGGACTAAAAGCTGCTCTTCTTAAAAGACTGGATTTTAGGTAATAACAGAGAAAGAAGTAATACAATCAACCCAGAATTAAGATCAGATGCTTGTTTTGTATGCATGCCTTAAGTCTTAAGGCAGCTTATGCATGTGATTGTTGATGTTGCTGTTCAACCAAACTGATATGTTTACCAGCTGCCATTTTAGGACGACTGTCAGAAGACTAGATTCGAACTTTAAATACTGTTAAGATGACCAAAGTATGCATTATGGTGTTTTTTCTTTTTAAGAACATATGGTGTGCTTTTCGTTGTGTGTCGTAAAGTGCTATATATGATACTTAGAAATTGGACTGGCGCCTTCGTGTACTAGACTATTACATCGTTCTAGCCAGGAACTGTAACGTCGTACTACCCACCCAGTTTCCAACATGGAGGCCCTGTATTACGTTATGTTTTGCCTTTATCGGAACAGAGAACAAAATACGATGACAAAACGATCAAGAATATTTTCAGATTTCTGTAGAATTACATCTAAACGCGTGTGCCTTAAATAATGAATGCATTCAAGCACGAGAATACAGAAATGCCTAAATGATTCAATATCAGGATGTGTAAATGGATCACCTCTCAATAAAATATAATGTTACAAGTAAACCTCGACGACTCACGGTTTTATATACAATAAATATTTATTTACTGCATTTAACAACTGCAACCGCTGGATTTTCTTTTTATAGTTCTACTGTTTGCGTTCCTGAATCTTGGACAGAACCGTGCCTGGCTCTTCAAAGACGATCCGTACTCAAGATTGGAAAGAAGTGAACGTGATGTGCTGGCATCAACATGGATCCTACCATAATTTTATGTTCCCTATCAAACTACCGGCTGTATATAGCAGATGACGTCTGTCACGTCAGCTGGTTACAAATATGAATCAGTTCAACCTTTATCTTTAGTTCACGTGGAAAGTTGACTGGTATCATTTATAATAAAGCAACTGAATATAAATGATCGTATTTTCTATTTTAAATTTTCAACCATACACATTTTATCTCACTTTTAACCTTATAAAAACATAGATGAATATTATTTAAATCTATATGGACTATGTAGAATGGCCAATAGTTTATAATTCCTTATACACACCGAACAATTAAAACATTTTTTTTTTTTACTAGAGACTTATTTTATATTTTCGTATTGGTAAATGAACATGGAAATCAGAAGGAACAACTAAATTATTTGAAATAATTTGTTTTGTGTGAAAATTCCTATTTCTTCATTGGGATCTTTGGAGAAATATATGGTCATGATTAAAATATAAATGTACACATTTTTGGTTATTAGTCCGTCCGACGGGTTTTATGTCATTTAATGTAAACTATAGGTATTAGAGATGAGTTATTCCAAATAAACACTAGCTGTAAGAACATTTCTTTCTTTACATGCTGATAGGCAGAAAGTTTTTATGTATGTGTTTTAACTACTTAGTTTGTGATTGGCTTAGACATGACAACCACAAACACCGTTTGTCCCAATCTGTAACGGACTATGCATTATGACAATGTACTTACGATCAGTATCCTCGTTATTATAAATCATAGCCATTAGATGCAGTCGGCTGGCTTGACGCTCCGCCCTGTTTCATTTTGCAGTAACAGCTTGCAACCATATTAACAAAACACCGATTTCGCATATCTACCTAACAGAATGAGCCGTTTTGTGCGCCTGAGATACTACGAATCGTTTCTTCATAGATTACAAAAATCAGGCACAGAAATCTGCGTGTAGGGTGAGGAGTCACCAATTAATATTAATTTCAGTCGTCGGCGAAGGAAAGTACATGCTCTTGGTTATCTTACTGTGGTTTGGAAAATCACGTAATGTGGACCATCGGTGGAGGGTCGCGCGTCAATGACGTCATGTAAAGCGTCATCAGCCTCTCCCGGAAGAGACGGAGTGGACGTTTTCACGTGTAAGGTTCTGACTGCAGCTTCTTGCTTTAAGCATGCGAATCTGCAGCGTATGCAGTGAGACGGTCCCCAAATATCGATGCCCGACTTGTAAGATCAAATAGTGAGTATAACTGTTTATATATGTTCTTGTTTTTGCGTGGAGGGAAAACCAAATGAGCTAAACTGGTGATTGTGTTTTCCATTCGACTAGTTATCTGGTAGCGTGGATCTGTTGTATTTGCCCGTTGTAACAGTCAGTTTTGAAAATTACCACGAATTTGTTTTTGACTGAATTGTATCTTTCTTCTTTTCCAGCTGCTCAGTGATTTGTTATAAGAAACATAAAGGTATGGCGCATCCATAGCATCTATTATTTGTTCTCTTATAGCGAATTGTGAAATCTGAGATCCATTTGAATAACTATATGTAAGGATTTTATATTTCATGAATCTGTGATCGTTAATGGAAGATCTCTGTAGTTAAGTTTAAACAACTCACGATTAGCACATACTGTAAATACTCGTTTACTTCGAAAAAATGCTTTAGAATATTTAATAAACGGTTTTATTTTAATAAAAGTTCAAAAGTATGGACGCCCATTTCCGCCATCTAGAGGAAACATATTTGTCTCAGAATTCTGACTCGTTTTGACTTTACATCTCAGAATTCTGACTTAGTTCGTCGAAATTCTGACACTGTATTTCTCACAGTTCTTTACTTCTCGTTATATTGAGTTCTTTCCTAACAACCAACAAGTAGCGGGAGCCATCAATTATAGTACAGTAGCAGACAGGAGTAACGGCCACAAATCTAATAAGGCATGTCCAGGCATTTTAAGATTTCCAGTTGTGTGTGTGAATAGTAGCCTACATCGAAACTTGCAATGATAATTATCCTGTAAACGTTAACCAACTGAAAGGGGGCAATAAAACTTCTCTCGCTAATCAAGTGTGATAGACATCTATTGTTAATGCTTCGTGCATTAGACATGTAAGACCCTGCAGCAGCCAATAATGTAATACCTACCGTTAATGTAATAGCTGCTAATAACGTAGTGTAAAATTTCTGAATCAAAAACGTATCACATTCTTACATTATCGTGTTTTATTGCACTAAAAACGGCAGTTTTACATTATTGGCTGCTACAGACCCTAACAATCGTGACATTGCACAAGATACATGTTACAATTACAGTCGGTAAAAAAATATCAAACGTGTTTTTCAGTAGTTAGGCTACTAGAATTCTTAGGCAAACACTGGCATCACAAGAATAACTGAATAACTCAAACCAAAACATTGAAGTTAGTTTTAGTGCCATCTCGTTTTACTGCTTCTAAAATGTAGCGCGCTAACATGAAATCCAAACTACTTGCCGGCAGATTACATCATGTGAATAATGCGTGTTTGGAATATATTCATAAATATCATCCTACAAAGGTGGTGACCCGGCCTTGATTGGCAGTTTCAAGTATTCTCCGTTACAATGCTACCTTTTAAACTGTATTGTTTAGACGGCTGTTCGCCTGTGGAGGAGACTCTGCCCGCAGCATTACCTGAACCTGGCGGGACGTGGTGTAGAGGTTGGTCAATTGCAAGAAGGACTCTCATTTATAATGTGTGAAATCGGGCGGTCAGCCAATTCCTGGTGTTTTATAATGTTATAGATGGTGACTGGACTGTGGAAGATCTCGTCGATGAAGAGGATGAGTCAGACAAAGTTCCATTAGAAAGACTAAAAAAACTGGGTAATTGTTAACGTCACAATTGTTTGAAATGTTGTTAAATTCTGATTGAGATGGGTACATGTCTGTCCACCTGATTTATATTAATTATATACTTGAAGGGGACAGTTCACTGCAAAACTGAAAAAGAGGGGGGCTTTAGTGATATTTACCCATCTAGGTCAGGGGTGTCAAACTCCAGTCCAAGGGGGCCAGAGCCCTGCACAGTTTTTGGTTTCCCCTCATTTAACACACCTGATTCAACACCTTGTCTGAATTACCACACAGCTCTTGAGCTGAATCATTTGTGGAGGAACAGGGAAAGAACTAAGCTACACAGGGCTCCGGCTCTCCAGGACTGGAGTTTGACATCCCTGATGTAGATCATTCTGCTGGGAGTTGCCTATTTTGACCACAGAATTAATGCCATTCACTCCCATTATATTCCAGAGAGGCCCGCCATTTCTACGGCCGCTATCCCAAAAACTAGGCACCTCCAGCAAGAACAACCTAGATAGATAGATAGATAGATAGCACTAAAGCCCCTTTAAAACACATCCTGTTCAGTTTTTGGGTGAACTGCCCCTTTGAAGTTCTGATCCTCCTCTCCTGAACTTGTAAAATTAGTCATTCTCTAAATTTGCAATGTATGCAAAATTGGCTGAGTTTTTAAATATGCATGTGTCAAGTCACCCCATAAGTTGGTTTTGCTTGATTAAATTTAATCGCTGCATTTGCATTTGCTTACAGGTGAATCGGAAGAACTCAAAGCCCTGCTCCGTAATGCCCACCTTAGGAGGCTTCTGCTCGCTGTGGATGGAGCGGAGAGCAAGGCGGACATCATGAAAGTGGCAATGCAGGAGCCCCTGTTTGTGGAGTTTGCTGATCAATGCTTGAGGATTGCTGAGCCAATGGAATAAGAGGACTTCTGAGACTGACCAATCAAATGTCACTAGCTGGTGGTGGGAGTGTTTTCCTGTGGTTCTGAACTGTAAATAGATTATATCCAGTGCATCATTTTAAGCTGCTTTTATTGAATCAAGCTGAATACCTTTTGTTAAATGCTGTGCTTTTCCCAAAGCCATTTTAATAAAGCAAATTGAATGTTATCTTAATCGAACTGCTGAATATTAAATCTTAAAGGCAGAAAGATGTTTGTCCTACTTTGAGGATCATTCCATGTCTTTGTTTTAGTTAAGCTTCAGGAATGCAAACTAACTAGATATATGATCCCATTCATTGAAGTCTTAAAGGTGCCATAGAATGCATTTTTTTCCGTATATTAAATTGTTCTCTGGTGTCTACATAGATGGTATTTGAACTTGGTTTGGTCAAAAAATGTGGTTTTACAAGCCTGTTACAACCCTTTTATCTAGCCCTAGAATGAAACAGGTCATTCTCCCTTTTTTGGTGGGCTCTGGTCTGATTGGCTGGTTTACAGTGAGGCACTGCATTTACAGCGCTGGTCCCATAAGATTATAACGAAGCTGAAAAATTTCAGACATTATGATTTTGCAGAGTTCAACATGTCTGAGGGTCAAAAAGGGAGGGGCATGTTTCACTTCTTTAACCAATCACAGTCTTCACTGTATGGCATCACATTGGTCCATTTTTTTTTTAATTTTCAAATTCAAGGCTTCCAGCTATTGAGTTGGGGTGTGTGTGTGTGGCTCAGCAGGTTGTCAGTTCAAGCCTTGTTTTATCATCATCATCTTCATGAAATAAACATGCCCTTGCATTGCTCTGTACAGCCTCTGCAGAAGCATGTTCCCGTGTTTTGTATCTCTGACACGTCCCTTAACAAAAGGCATACACAATAAAATGAGTACTTTACAAATTCAGACACCTTGCTGCTTAACAGAAAACACTGGTTTTTATTGGTGTAGCAATGTCATACAATGCAGACTGTAATTGGTTAAAGTGAAACTCAAGCCAGCATTGACACTGGGACACGGTGAACTTAGCAAAATCAGGATGTGCAAAAATTCCTATGACCTAGTGACGTAGTGCAACGCATCACTTGCATGTGTGTGGTGATGGCATAAGCAAACCTACTGCACTGTCAATCGTTGTGTAAAAGTATAGCACATATAATTATGTAGCATGCATAATACTTGACAAAGTTTTTTTTAATTTCAGTGCTGATTTGATATGTATTAAGCTAACCAAAAGTAGGCTACAGGCAGTGCAGAAGCTTTTCGTCAATGTCAGTGTTACAGACTAATGATGTTTACTACTCCCCTGCTAACCTGAATAGGACTTACCTTCTTAGCCTGCTAGTAATACATTAATGGCTGCCAGTATATATATATATATTTTCTTCATCAGGTGCGCTTTTGGAGACTGTATGCATGCCCCTGGAGAAAGAAAATGTGTTGCGCATTGTGCAGATCCGATAGGCTTGAAAGTGGGCTGGTGAATGTTAAGTTTTGGGGTGTAGTTAAGACTGTTGTATAAGTGTAGGATTTTTGAATCAGCCCATTTTGACCACCTTTTACAGTACATATGCAGGCTTTATATTTGGAAAAAGGGAACAACAGTGTTTGAGATTCATGGCATGTCAGTTCCATGTAACTCGCCTTGTTCAGCTCGGCTGAGGTGAAGTCAGATTTTCATTTTATGGCACCTTTAAAACAGGCAATTTTTTTTAATTTTAGGGGAATTTAGTGAATCTGTGAGACCTGCTTTGGGATGCATTATTTAGAAGCTTTAAAAGTACAACATTCCAGCAGAAGTGAATGATCACAGCATCTGTTACAGTTATTAAGGTAGAGTATCTCAAATGTTTATTTGGAGGTTTTATTAAATTCCCATGATTAGCAGTCTCTACAGAATACATCACTGGTGCAATAGTGATGCATTTATTATCAATCAGTTGCTACAAAATCAGTGCATAGAAGTCAATGGTTTATTAAAACTAAATAGCTTTCATAATCTAACCAGGGTATCACACACATTTAACAGAATCCACCCTTACTTTGGTGACATAAAATGACAACATTGTGATAAACATTTGGTTTTGCTTGAGTAGGAAGGTTGGTTGGGTCAATTTCCATAATGACCATTGCTCATTTGGAAAACATAGTATAACAATGTTTCTAAATTAGGGCTGTCAAAATTAATGGGTTAACACAGATTAATCCATCATCATGATTAATCTGATTGAAATTTTTAATGCAATTAACCCATCTGCAGTGCAGAATGACTCAAAATCCCTGAAATGTCTCTGTCAACCCATTTTGGGCAGTTTTGGTGCGTTCCATTTGCCCTCGGGACTCGTATTCCAAGTCAGATTCTGGAGTTTTGAAGCCGGAAGTGACCCGAGTTCAGAATCCAAGATGGCTGCGCCCTTTATCAACAGAAGGGAAAATTGTAGTTTTATAGTCTTTAAGCACTGCTTCTCATTTGTAGCTCATTAAATTGGTCGCACACACTATACCGTCCAACTTATCTGTGGACGTGTTGCTATGGAGTTTTATACGTAAATCACCGCGCATAATGTGTTATCAACTGATATTGCTAACAATGGCAATTAACCGGGCTAGAATTGGATTTCATGATTAGTGGGATTATTTGTCGGATTTATGGTAGTTCGGGCTAACTGTAAGTGAACGAAGATAAAGACCATTTAAACTGAGGTACCTTAAATCCGACAAGTTGTCCGGCTAAGCAAAAAATCTTGCTTTTAGATATGGGTTCATGGTATTGCACTTCTGTGGCAGATGGAATGCATCCGACTAATGTTCAAGATGTTCAATAAACATGTTAAGTGCATACATATTCCCTTTTTTCTTGAGTCTGTTTGCTCATGCAAAATGAAATGTGATTAATGTAGATTAAAAATGAATGATATTTAATTGTGATTAATCGAAATTAATCCACAGCAACCCTGTGATTAATCTGATTAAACATTTTAATCGTTTGACAGCACTATTCTAAATTAATTGTATCCTAATGAACAGGTACATCATTACCTGCATGCAGGAAAACAAGGCTGAAAATACTAACAACAAGCTGCTGGGGCACTATGCCAAGGCAAACATGCTTTATTTGTACGTGTGTGTATGCCAGATAAATGTATAAATTCATAATTTAATCATTGTGCACCACACCTGTTCCCCGAACACAGCACAGTATCGACATTTGGAAATAGAAGACAGCATAACAAAACTATTAGTATTCCTTCTAAGCCAGAGATACTAGAAGATGTACAGATACCTATTACCTGTACTTTGCTGGTTTTCACCAGATTCTTTGGTTTATGTACTGTGCAGTAACAAGGTAATTAGTATATCACTAATTACTGAACCATGCAAACATAGCATGTACCATCTGACCCTGTGAGGGAGTAAGGGTTACATTTTGAAACACTTCTTCTACACAGCATATTTTAGTATACAGAATAAATAAATCTCAAGTGTTAAATCATACCAACTGTTTGTCAGTTTTACAGATCACTGTTCTTACATCATTTTAAAATGATTTTACTATGGTTTATGGTATATTGACCTTAATGTTTAAATCTTTAAAAGAAACATCTAGAAATAGAGTTCTGAACTGTAGCTATAAAGCACTGTAGTGTAATAGACAAGCAGCTAGAGGACTGGAATGGCAAACCACAGACATAAAGGCACTGCAGTGAGATCTAATCAGCCTGAGAGTAACAATACTGGTTTTAGAAAAAATAAGTTCAAATGCAGCTCTGGAAAAATCTCCAGCAGCGAGTCGCTTAAGAAAGCGATGCAGGTAAGAGAGATGCATTTTTTTTTTTTTATTTATGTCATGTCATGTTTTCTCCAGCAGGATCTGGTTGAAGCCAGTGACTCCTCTCTTGTCGGGATGGGTGTCAGAATACGGAAGTGGGGAGCGTTGGAGGTGGAGCCTAATAGACTCCTGTAAGGGGGGGGGGCAGCATGTGACTTGAGTGAGAAAGGTCTTTATAACACAGCATGCTTACATTTTAGTTATGTAGCAGACTCTTCAACCCAAAGTGAGAATGTAGGGCGAGTCAGTCCCTGGGAATTAGGGGTTACGGACTTTGATCAAGAGCCCAATGCAGACTAGTGATGCGCAGGTCGGGTATTTTTCCAACCCGCGGGTCCCGCTTTTATGAAATTATTTGGCCCGCCCCAGCCCACTCCGCAAATAAAGTGACAATTTCTTTACCCGCCCCAACCCGACCCGCGGGGTCCGCGGGTTACGAGACGACCCGCGCGTCACTAATGCAGACATCTGCCAAACACCTTAATTATATTGGTGACCCTCTAATCAGAGAGACAAGAGTCCTAACTCAGAGTCACACGGCGGAATGCGGCGTCTTACCTGCGGCTGTGCTCTGATCGAGGCCACCCCCTGCTCAAACTGGTTGGTTTCCACTTTGTAACTGAAGCTTGGAAAGGATAGCTTTAGACAAGCAAACAAGGACACCATCTTCTGGATGTTGGTGACAGTCATGGCCACTGTGACAGTGGGGGCTGATGCCAGGGCAAGTCCAACAGGCCATGCCCACAAAATCACAGGCTCCTGGTGGGTGGACAACTGTAAGGACAGCCCGGTGCAGCCCCAGGATGTCTTCTCCGTGTCCGTGACGTCATCCAACTCAGTCTCAGCCAGGGCTTCCATGCGAGCCTAGGAGGAAAACAGACATTAGGGACACAGAGCAGGAAAACCCCGGCAACGGGATCCAGCCAAACTCACTCTCCATCCCTGCCATTGCCTCTGGATGATGGTGGCGGCCCGGCACCATCTCAGAACTTCTTTTCTGACCAACCAGGATCGCACAGCTGAAGGAAAACAAAGAGCACCAGGGTTCCAGTAAATGACACAGCCAGAGATCATTCAGGACCATGTGATATGAGAAAATATGAGCTTGTCATTGCTGCACTGGGCGAGTCAAAGTGTAGCAGTAAGAACAGAGCCGGATAAGCGAATGCTACCTCCTGCCGCTCTGGCTTGTATGCAGCTACTACACACTAAAGCCAAGTTCATACTTCACTTTCCCAAATGCGGTCATGAGCTCAGAATCCTGTGCTCACACTACATTTGTTTGGGGGTGCAGATGTTCGCAACTGATGGATGCATGCAGCAGTGACATTACACCACACCAGGAGGATGTATTGCAACAAATACAAAACACAAGCAGTACAGTGAAACGAGTAAACCTTTTTGGAACAGTTTTGGCCGGTATTAAGATAATGTGGCAATACCACGGTATTCCGAAATCCTTACGACAAAATTAGCCAGGAGCCCCATGGAAAATTTTATTCCTAAAAGTTTAAAATGCTGGAATATTGTTGCTTTAAAAATATCGTACATTGTGCACCGTTCGCAGCCATCCAGTGCAAACCCTTGATGACAAAAATTACGTCACCTCACCCTGTGCGTCACCAAACGCGCACGCAGAACAGTGCAGTATGAATTGGCTGCAGAAAAGCATAAATCGGCTGACAAAACTAAAAACTGAGCTATTAGCCTAATATATGGTTCACGTGAATTTTTTTCTTATGTACTATTTGCCTCACATATAAGTAGCTTTGGGGAAAAAGCATCTGCTAAACAAAATAAATGAATAAATAAATCTCCTCAAAAGCTGATACCGCTTAGCCAGACAATCCATTTGCAAGATTACAAAGTTCAACCATGAAGAGTAGGTGTCAGTGTTCATATAGCTGTACCGGCTTGAATCCTGGCCGCGGCGCACGCCTGGGCTGCACGCTTCCTGCGGCAGTACCGACGCCAGCAGCACTGGATCACGGAGGCCCTTTGGGATCGTGCTCGTCCCCTGTGCTCCTCCAGGAGCTCCAGCTGCACAGCAGCAGAGGGAGGAGTCGGTCAGATCAGGGAAACCCCAGTCCTACCATGAGGGTCCCCATCCCACCGGCGGTGCCCACCATAAAGTGCGTCAGGAAGGCCTTGGTCTCTCCACAGTGCACCAAAGAACCGTGCGTCCTCGTCCCAGGGTAGCGTAACGGCTCCAGGGAATGGCATCTCAGCACCTCGTTGAGGACTGCCACGACGGCATGGGCCACGGTGTCACTGCCAGCCTCCGGCTCTGAGGGTGAGGGAGAGCTGGTCTGACATGTCATATCGGCTCGCAGAAACGTGCAGTTTTCAAGCTGCTATTCTTTCACATTCATTTGTGACACGTATAGTAAACAATAGTCATGCTGCATGCACTTTGATGGCTAATTTCACGTCTCTATATACATCTTCATACTGATAGTTCAGCTACAGAAGCCAAACAAGCAAATTCCTTATTTCCTGCTCGATATTAAATTATCAAATCAGAGCCTAAAATAGAGTCCAAAGAGTCGATTATCAGGATGCAAATACCGAGCACCGTGCTGGCAAACCGCTAAGCGTGCCTTTACCTGTCTGACAAGGTCGAACGCCACGTCGTGTAACTGCGACCTATTTGCAACACCGACCCTAAGCATTATCCCGTCTCAGCCTTAGACAGAAGGGAAGGAGCTCAAGGGAAACTGTAGCGAGAGGGACGATGAGAAGAGAGAGAGANAGCCTTAGACAGAAGGGAAGGAGCTCAAGGGAAACTGTAGCGAGAGGGACGATGAGAAGAGAGAGAGGAGAGGAGAGAAGAGGCGAGGCGAGGCCAGACATTTTAGGTCAGTAAAACAAGGCCATGGCCTCCTGACACCCGGCACCCAACCAAACATAAGTGTGACTCGCAGCCTTCGAGTCCCGCCTCCTGCCGTATCCCAGGCAGACCCACCGCTTTCCTCCACCGACTGCCATGAAATCCGGGAGTTGGCGATCAGCCCATAACGTTTGAGGAAACACAAGTGAGGGATCCTGGGTGAATTGGAAACACACACTTATCGGCATATTCCAGCTGACAAATAAAGGCAAATTAAACACCCAGAGTCACAAATATACAATGTACACATCAAATAAAGTGACTTGACATGCCTGCGAAAGCCCAGTGGATTAACTTTAATTTCCCATAATGTAATAAAATAGACTCCCTGTCACTTACCGGATGGGAAAACCAGCCGCACTGATATTTATGGTTTCCACAATGCCGCAAGCTTCCAGTTGAAGAATAACCTGAAAGTTATTATGACAGGATTCATTTTAACTGGTATATTTGGGAAGATATACATCTATATACAGCTGGCTCTCCAAATCCACAGGATATTGGTTCCAGGACCCCTGCGGATACCAAAATCCACGGATGCTCAAGTACCTTATATAAAATGGCTTAGTATTTACATAAAATAGACACATCCTCCCATATACTATAAATCATCTCTAGATTACTTATAATACATAATACTGTATAAATGCCATGGAAATAGTTGTTACACTGTTTAGGGAATAATGACAAGAAGATAACCTGTACATGTTCAGTAATGCAACCATCACAGTACATAAGGAGAATATAATAATTAATGAAGAAAATATAGTCACTCTCTCTCTTACACACACACAGTCATGTAATCATATCTTTTTGGGGACCGCTCATTCATTTCTATGGGAAAAATGCTAATGCTAACTATGACAACCTTAACCCCTACCCAGCCCTAACAATAATCATAAGTAACCAAACAAAACACAAGAGTTTTTGCATTTTATGTTTTTTCATTGCAGTCACGGATTTTTATAAAATAGAGTTTTTCCATATGGGGACCAAGAAATCCAGGTATACCTGGACCACACACACACACACAAAGTGTCATCAACATCCAAGACTGAAATCTCAGCATGCTCAGCATGTGGCAAATTTAAGTTTTGCCATTTGAAACTTTCTGGATGTTCTTTTCCCCTGAATATTTTCGATCTGTGGTTGGTTGAATCTGCAGATGCAGAGGATCAGCTGAATATCTGTATGTCCACACCCGCTAACATTAGTCACAGCTTTCATACTTATGTCACAAATTGTTGATTGGGTATTAAACAGACCTCCTCCTTCTTAAACGTCAGCGGTCTGCATTCTGGGTTGGGCTTAATACACCTGGTGTAGTGAGGTGTAGTGCTGTGCAGGATCTTCATCAAGCTCTCGAGCGAGTTCTGCAAAAACAGGAATCAGCCTTCATCTCCAAAGCGGCAGATTAACAGCCTGAGACACACTCACAGGTCACGACAGAAGAAGGTCACAGGGACAAGGTCACAGACTAGACTACCCTCACCTTGAATTTGGAGACTACGGTGACCACTTTGGTATGTCTTCTGCCACTGCTGTCATCTGCATTACCGTCAGCAAAGAGACTCTGCAGCAGTGAGTCCTGAGACCCCTGAAGCATGTGTATGAGCTCCGGAGGGACAGGATCCTAAAATGGAAACAGACACACCTGTGAGGTGGGGAAAGGACACCCTTTCCAGCAAAGGCTGTGTGCAGCTGTGAGCACTCAAACCATGCATTTGTGTGCCCCCTGCTGGCCACAAACAATTGTTATGCTAAATATTAAACAAATGCCTTCTTTATTCAGGAGGTGTTAAAGCAGTATGTTCTACTCACCAGCTAGCTGGGAAAGATCGTTTCACTTTACTCGCTAGCTATTTTTTCAGCTTTTGAAACATGAGTGGGGCCATGAAATGACAAACACGCTGCTGGCTGCACCCCCCATAAGGGCCGCCCGCCCGCCCGCCACTCGCCCGCCCAGGGCCCGCCAGCTCCTACCCTGTTCTTCTCCACCATTCCCTCGATCTGGTAGCTGACTCTGCCAGCATAGTGGGACACGGTGAAGTGCGGCTGCTTGCTGAATGTATCCCAGCTCATGCAAGCGTTCCCAGACAGCTCCCTCTGCAGGCGAGTGCGGAACTGCTGGGCATCGGCGCCACGGTTGAGGCGGCACTCCTGGGGAGGGGATACATAACATACAAAATACAACGTACGAGGTACATAATTGGCTGTGGTTTGGGTGCTTTTTTAGGTGGCTTTGGTATTTATTTTTTTAAATGTGGTGGGGGGGGGTTTGAGTGGGGGCCCAGAGACAACAAGGCCGCCCCGGTAGATAACATACTACACTGAGCTGGAGCTTTACTGCAGTGTGTGAACGAACCTCATTGAGCAGAGAGAAGATGCCGTTGGGGCTGCCCTCCAGCAGGTGCAAGCAGCTCTGGTTGTCCTGGTACTGGACGAAGGACCACACTAAGCCCTCGGACACGTACTCCTCCTGCGGCAGGGGCACACGCGAGTCAGTCAGGGCGCGGCCTGGCCCCGGAGGCGGCGGGGACACGCGGATCAGTCAGGGCGCGGTCTGGCCCCGGAGGCGGCGGGGACACGCGGATCAGTCAGGGCGCGGTCTGGCCCCGGAGGCGGCGGGGACACGCGAGTCAGTCAGGGCGCGGTCTGGCCCCGGAGGTGGAGGTGAGCTGCACCTGCTGAGCTTTCAGATAATGGGCCACAAAGTGCTGCTGCAGCTTCTCATTGGCGTAGTTGATGCACAGCTGCTCCAGGTTGTTCAGGACAAAGCATTCGAAGCCATAGACGTCCAGCAGGCCTGGTCAAAATGGCACCATGACGATGCAGTTAATGACTCAAACACACGCACAGATAATGCACTATAACTTACTTATAACCTGGGGGGAGGTTTTTACCTATGAAATTGCACCAGCTGGATGAGCTGGCACACATGCTCTTATTGATGAACGCTACCAGCCAGTCGAAAACACTGCAGGAAAAATATAAACATCACCTTATAAAACCACAACATGGTTAACTCATGTAACTAAATCATCCCCAATCTACACTGTTAACTCAAGTTAGCTAAGGTCCATAAACAGTATATCCATTAATCTGTTAATTATTTTGTAGTTTGTAGTTCTGCCTAGAGAGTACAGCAGCAGTACAGAGAGTATAGCAGCAGTACAGAGAGTATAGCAGCAGTACAGAGAGTATAGCAGCAGTACAGAGAGTATAGCAGCAGTACGAAATTTATCCCCTGTGAGGAAATCTTGTTCTGGATGTGAGGTACAGACACACATGTAGATGATTTGAACCCACGACCTTCTGGATACCAGCAGGGATCCCTAACCCCAAGCCACACATGTCTCACCGGGCATAGATGAGCTTGGCCAGGCAGTCCCGCCGGATGCCACACTCCTCCCGAGAGCATGGCTTCAGCACGCTCTGTTTCCCGGCTTGCAGGACCCTCAGCTTCAGGCAGGACTCCAGCTGCTCCGCTGAGACGTGCAGGAGGGAGGCAGCGGCCCGCAGGAAGCCTACAAATGGCCAGCAACGCGGGAGGCCCAAACAGGCACGTTCCAGGGCAGCAGCAAAAAAAAGCAGCATTACATTATCAAATGAACCCGTCTGCAAAAACCATATACAGACAACACAGCATATGAAAAGCATTTTAAAAGCCTGAAGCTTAGATTATGTTCAAAGCAAACGACGACGACCTCAGCAGAAAAATGATAACTAATCCTTGGCCAGTGATGACTAACAGATTTTTTTTGGATGCAGTGAACCTTGGCTTTGTGTTGCTTTTGGAATTTGGCCCTCGATGAAAAAACTGCAGGGAACCCGCTCCGGGGGGGTGGAGGTACCTGGCATGCAGGACGACCTACCAGCTCACATCCCTCATTTATGATTTCACTGGAATTGATGCTCAAAAAGACTCGATGATTCATGATAGGTTATAAACTTATATATACATATATAGCACTTATTCTTGACCAGGGCAGTGCAGACAAACAAGGTGAGGCCAAGCAGGCTTTACCTGCGGCTTCTTCCTGGAGGTCACAGGGCTGGGACTCGTCAGCTGACGGGCAGAAGGTCACGTTGCCGAGATTAAGGAGACCTGCCAGCATCTGAGTCACATGGCGCACAACGGATCAGAAGCACCGTCACGTACACAGGAGCGTTATAGGATTATCACTTAAGGGAAGCGTCACCAACATCACTTGGTTTACCTGGAATATCTGTCCCTGTGTCTCCGTGGCAATGCCCATGTGACCCATTGCAGCCACCGTGTCCTGAAAACAGTCCTCTGGAAGTCAAAGAGTGTTCTGGTTAAATTATGTATTACATTACAATGATCTCCATGAGATTTTCATTGTCTATATCAGTGACAAAGTCCCCTAAAGTGACCATGCGACACCCCTCTGTGACACCGCAGACAGTGACCCCCCAAATCAGGTGAAGGGACAGCAGACCCTCTAGCGTTCTGTCAGCGTTCGGCAGCCAGGTGAAATGTTGGTCCCTCGGTATCTTCCACTCTTTCCTCTGTTCTTCTGTAGCCCCTTTCATCATCTGCAAGCAAATCACAGAGACGCCACATCACCCAAGCTGATCCAAGAACGTGGAAATTCCTCTAGGAGGTTTTTCCATACCTGGTAAAATATGTGAAAATTCCTCTCATCGGCACCTTGCTTAACTATCCTGGTCTTCTCCAGAAGGTATGTTTGAACAGAGGCTCCAACAAGCAGATGTGACCTGCATAATAATAATGATCATTTGATGTTTTTCCCTGTAATACTGACCAGGATAAGCGGTTACAAGATGGATGGATGATTAGATGATGCCTTAAAGAAACTAAAAGGTACAGTGGAAGTAAATGTGAATTTATTTAGAGGAAAAGCATCTACAGCAGGAGATGTTTACGTGTTTAGCTGGAGCTGGATATATTTCCCGAAGCGGCTGCTGTTGTTGTTCCTTGAAGTGCAAGCATTGCCTGTGAAGTGACCAACATGGCACAAGTGGGTTTCCACGACAAACTAGACTGCGCTCCTGGAGATTTACTTACACAAATATGTTCTGAAGGCAGAAGAAAAACTGATTGGTTATCCCCCTCAACCAATCAGATTGTAGAGGAGGTGGATCTAAGCCACTTGAGGAGGCAGGACCAACCACTCAGATGTCTTGGTCACACCTCCTCCACAATCAGACTTTTCCTTATGCAAGTAAAACTCCCACGAGCTAAGACTGCAGATCGACTCGAATCACCATCCTTGTGTCTCACCAAAAGCCTCCATGATGGGGTTGGAATCGAGAACCCGCTTCTCTATCCTCTCGATCATATTCTGGCATTTTTGGGAGGAGGAAGCCGCGATGGTGGAGTAGTACTTCATAAGACAGCGGGTTGTCCAAGTCTGGTGAAGGAACAGGGAGCGTCTTTCATTCTTTTTACTTCTTTAAGGCGCAGATGGCAGTATCCTGACCGGGAGAGCATGCCCTACCTTTCCTGCACCACTCTCCCCACTGACCACCAGCGACTGGTCCACTGGTTCCACCTGGCCCTGAATATTTCGGTAGGCCTCCTCGGCCACAACGAAGATGTGTGGTTTGAATTCCTGCCCAAGAAGCAGAATGCAGACAAAAACACAGATCAACACAGATCAACACAGATCAACACCAATACGTAGCCCAAAGCTAAACCCCAACACTGCGTCCTCGTACCTGAGGCTGCCGAGCGCAGTGGTACTCCTTCATCACCTCTGGGGAGTACAGATGAGGCACGGGCTGGAATGGATTCAGAGCCACCAGAGTGCAGCCGGCGTGGGTGTAGAAGACTTTGACGGAATACCTCGCTTGGAGACATTTCAGCACTGCAGGTAAGAGGAACCAGGTGAAGAATCAGATCTGTCAGAATTACAAACCTACACAGCACGTCTGAGTGAGGTTCTCTCCGTACTATCACATCATCCACATATACTGTAGGTATGCAGTGACTCTACAGAGCAAGTAATAATAATAACAACAACAACAACCAAGTGGGCTTTGCTGACATACCATCCATACACAGGTATACATTTACACAAAATGACATTCCCCCTGGAGCACAGTGCAACACACTTACAATACAAAACACAGAACAGCAGGAAGGTAATATATTTTAATTACCCTACACCACCCTCAAAGGGGGAGGAACGCGGACTGCTGCATCAAGGAACTTATGGCAACACTATCAAAGTCTCTAATTAATGGAATCTACTAAGCAAATACTTTTAGACAGTCACCTGTGCTGGGAGTCACAGGGTTAACTTTGGTTAGATCATCGTAAGTGTGCAGCTCATCTTCGTCGATCAGGAAGGATTTAAGCTCTCCATCCAGGGAGGTGTCCAGCAGCTGCGGATAACAGCGATCCCCAAGTCCGAATCCATCATCCTACGCAATATATCACAGGTTGTGCAAATAGGTATGGAAGGAAAAAGAATAAGTGGTATATGCTCACATCATTTGTTTTCCTTCATTAAGTAAACTAAGCTTTTGTTGCAATATGGAGTTCATTTCTCTTGCTTAATGTACAGTCACAACAAACCAAGACCAGTATTTGTCAAGGACAAAGGATGCCATTGTGACACGAAAAAAAAGGACACTGACTGGGACATTTCAAAACCTCATCAGACAATACAGATTAGCACACTGATGTGGCATCATCATACATAAAATTCTGTGAAGAAATGCACATTCCCCAGAAAACTGTGACTCTCTACAACAACAAACCGTGGATTTCAAAGAAAATGCAAAACCTAGAAAGTATGAAAAACATTGCTTTCATAAACGGGGGTAAAGATGAATACAATGCAGTAACATACAAACTATGCAGTAACAAACGAACTAAGGGAGGGAAAAAAAAAATAATCAAACCATGTCCTCAAATTGGAACAGCAATGCAAGTCATAGAGTAGAATGACTTGGAAAATCCTCCTGAGGATGACAAACAAGAAGACTGCAGCTTCTCCTGACAAAGATGATCCAGGCTTCCCAAGCAAACTTAATGATGTTGATGCATGTTTCAACACGTTTTCTTGTCACAGAGGAAAAGGTGCAACTTCCCTGAGGAAACTGAAGAAGAGGAAAGGTATCAGTCCTGACAAGGTAACCCCTGCTGTGCCCAGCCACCGTGTCTCCCTGCTGGCCCCCGGGTCCACAGCCACCTTCAGCCACTCTGTGTCAGTGCAACAGTGCCACCATAAACCCACAGCAAAATCCTCCAACCCCAACTGTCTTAATGACTACTCGCATGTTGCCCTGATGCCAGTGGCTATTAACCATTTGAACATATTGTTCTGTCCCATCTAAAGTCTTGCACTTCCTCAATACTGGACCCACAGCAATTTGCCTACTGCTCCAACAGATCTGCAGAAGACCTCATCAGTCAAGCACTCTACTACACATTGCAACAACTAGAGACACCAATACCTGTGTGTGCAGTTCATGGACAGCTCAGCTTTCAGTACTGTTAGCCCACTCTCACTCTTCCCAAAAAGTAATGGGGGGTGGGCATGACACTGCACTGCTCTCGGCCACTGGCTTCTGGACTTCCTATCCTGCCAACGTCAGTCTATCAGGGTGTGCAGTGTACTGTCCACTCCTCTGACCATCAGCACTGGAACCCCGCAAGGCCGCTGCGTGCTCTCCCTGCTTCCCGTTCCCTTGTTCATAAGCAAGCTGACATCACAGGACAGCTCTATGAAAATTCCCAAATATGCAGATGATACCACCATCACTGGAAGCATCTCTGACAATAATGAAGCACAGTATCAAATACAGGTGGATAGAGCAGACAGCAGGGGAAAGACAAGACAAGATAAAACTTGATCTTCATTTAATTAAGAACAACAAAATTATGATGGAATTCCCCGATTTAACAAGCCTAAGATGGGTAAACAAGAACAATGTTTTTCAGAAGAGGGTGAATGTTATGGGTATATGTCAGTGTGTACCCGACACTGGAGGGATGGTCAGATGGTATTCAGCAGTTTAACAGCACTGGGGAAGAAACTATTTTTCAGTCTTGTGGTGCATGAAATAATCAACCTATAATGCCTTCCAGAGCACAGCAACTGGAAGAGGTGGTGTGCAGGGTGGGCAGAGATCCTGTCCTACTGCATGATGTGGGCCAGTGATGTTTTGAGCCATCATATGGCACTTTTCCACTGGCGTGCAGGAAACAGGTTGTACCTGACACATACTGTGAAGAGACACTAGTTACAGTGCAATTCCAGCTTGGTTCGATTTTCCACTGCAGAAGGGTGGGCTCTGTAAAGATGTTGCTGGGTTTAGTGAGTGACAGTGATATAACACCGAAGAGATGCTTATTTACTGGTCACATGGTGTACATCATGATTTACTATGTGCTAATTTCCTGTGAGAATTGCCATGTTATGTTAGCATCAAGTGCTAGCAGAAATAGCAGTGCTTGCACAAGTTTGTGTTACAAATCCATTCTGTTCAGCCGTGCTCTAGTACATTTTTTAAGTAGAAGGCTGGAAATGTTCAGGTTCCAAGCAATGCATCAATACTATATATACTGTTATATACACTGTATAATAGCACATATCGATGCAGATCACCAGTATCTCCCTGCATTTCGACCAGTCAGATGTCAGTGACACATCCAGCATGGTTTCGTTGCGCTAGTCAGTGCTATTAAGCAGGGCCATGCCAGTGCTGGTATCGCTCAGGTACGGTTTGCATGATTTATAATGGAAAAACATCTCTTGGCGTTACAGCTCGGGAAACGCACCCGGAGTAACCCTCCCTTGTGCAGCTGGCAAACCATGCCGTGATGCAGTATGTCAGTACACTTTCCACCAGACATTGGTGAAAGTTCACAAGAAGGTCCTGAGCTAGCCTCACTCGCTTTAGCCTTTCGTACTGACAAAGACCTCCAGCTCAACATCAGTAACGGACTCTTTCACATTTCTGGGCCCCTCAATCTGCAGTTCCTTAAAATGGCAGATTACCTTGGACCATCTCATCAAGAAGGCAAACCGGAGACTGCATTTCCTCAAGCGACACATGAGCTTCGGAGTCAGTAGTCACCTCTTTGTACCGTTCTACACCATCATCACAGAGACCATCCCGACACGTTCCCTCATAGTTTGGTATAGCGGAACGGATTCCTTCATTAGAAAAAGACTTGTCATCAAGGCCTCAAAGACCATCAACTGAACAACTATACATTCAACATACCACTAAATGTGCCAAAGATTATGGAGGACCATTATGGAGACCACTCATCACAAAAATAACACGCTTCAAGAACAGCTTCTTCGCCTTCCTCCAGACTCAACAGTCCCCCCTGCACCATTTCAATGTTTACATTCTCATCAGGACAGAACCCTGACAATCTTTTTGTACATTATAATAGCGTATTGCATGTGATGTACGTTATGCACAATATATATGCATGTATGTTGTATGCATTATACCTGTGTCAACTCTCACCCCTGCACTACTTAAATTTGCATAACATTGGTATCGCATGCCTATCATTTACTCCTTTTTGTTGTACATCTTGTGTCTTGCATTTATTCAGTCAGTTTACGCCCTAATTGTTGTCTATTGCAATGATGTCTTTAACTGCAGGAGGTTGTGCCAACACAATTTTTCACCAACCCCACTAAACAATTTTTTGTTCTGGAATGTTTACCAAACGTTGCGATTAAGGTATGAAAACACTCAGACTCCAGTTTTCCTGATGTTATTAGAACATTATCCCACTACTACAACTAAAAATAATATTAAAAAAAAAAAATGTAGGTCATTTCAGAGCAGTAGGTAACAGTTGGTGTCATGTTACACGACAGTGGTGATAGGTTCAAGGCTGAATGGCATGTTTGCAATATACACATATAAAAAATACATAAACATTGAACATTGTGTTAAAAAGATGTTCATTATTCGTTAAAATATAATTACTTTCCGCTAACGATACAGTAAGAATGTTTGCCAATTTTGAGAAGAACTACTACACACTTTGGTTAAAGTTATGGGAACATCTGCTTGCCGGGAAGACGTGTATGTGTTCGGTGTCACGCTGCAGTAACCGGTTCCCTGGTCCTTTCAGTGTGACGTAGCTGACCTCAACTCGGGCTATTTTCAGGCTCGATGTCCTTTCTCACCTTGAGCTCCAGGTACAGGGCAGCCTTGCGAAACACAGACGTGCTTTAACAAGGAACGAACGCAATTTGTACAAACTAATGCAAATATAATTGGACTATTGGGCAATCTCAGGTGTTTTCATAAAACTGCGGGTTACATTTTATCATAACGACAGCAAAAAGAACAATATTTCGTGAGTTATTTCACATTGCATACATAAACCGCAAATCAGATGTATATTGGCTACAAATTAGAGAGAAACCTCGCCCGCACACAGGATGTTGGTATTCCTCCCCATTACGCCCTTAAGGTATATTTTAAAAATCCAGGATGAACTATCAAATGGCCAAACAAGATAAGCGTTTTGAGTTATACCTTTTAGTTAGATTACTAAATTCTTATTTATATAAAAACTCGACAGTCGTTTGCAACGGTAACATGCGTATTTCACTTGTAATATTTAAGACGAAATCATTTGTTTGTGTTATATAGCGTTTATATATTAAATTTATATTTTAAATAGGCCTGTATTTTTCTACCACACGAAGTGTACAACAATACAAGCCCGAAAGAATGACCGCACGAAACTTTCCTCAGGTTTAATGAAGTTCTTAAGAAGTGTCCCGAGAACCCAGTGTGGCTAGATAAAGGGTATGGGTTTGGTAATCTCCCTAAGATTACAAAGCAAACTCGGGCGATGACTAATACATTAAACTACCCTTGTCACAGATTATCGGGGTAGGACCGTCCTTGTTTTTGGGGAGGGAAAATGCGTTTAGGGGCGAATTACTATGTCATATAGACTACTACTACTACTAGTAGTAGTAGTAGTAGTAGTAGTAGTAGTAGTAATAATAATAATAATAATAATAATAATAATCTACCTCTTTACTGTATGACACTAAAATAAAGATTGGTGCTAGCCGATTTTATCTACTCTATTAGTAATTCGATTACTGGCTCACGTGTACACTTTATTAACAACAACAGTCATGCATATAGCATACATCACATACTACACATATGTAGCCTAAACAATATTTGTAAAAATGATTGCTAATTTGACCTGACAAAGTATATATTTTTGGGGGTTTTTTAGAAGCCAAGGAACATGTGTATAAAGTGGGCTAAAATCTCAGTACCTTTCCTAAACGGGCTAAAATCTCAGTACCTTCTCCCGCGGCTCCGTACGCGGATCTCGCCGCAGACTCATGGATCCGGCGCCAATCCCCTGTTTCTGCTGTGAAATGCACCGTCTGCTCACAGAATCGCCAATTTCGCCGCCGATTCCTCCACAGATCGGACCCAACTGCACAGCTACCATACAGCCGCCCGGCTCTGTTCCCGCTTTTATGCACTGCTCCTCTGAGTCATGAAAGTCCGCTGAAGGGCAAACAGAAGCCGGACCGCCCGCCTCCCACACTCAAACCGAGAAACTCAAAGGTTGCCGGCGCCACTACAACGCCGGCCGGCCCGCCCCCTCTGTGACAGGCGACCCGGACCGCCCCGCGTGTTGGGAGTGCGGGGCGGGGCGGAAGAGGGAAGTACAGGTGTTGCGGACCGGTCAGATATGCGGCACATCTCAGCTGAATTAATAACGTAAAATATCAAATTGCTGCATGTCATATATACGGTAACCCGCTTACAGATCCAGTTCACGGACGTTAATATGACACTTTAGCAAGTGGAGCTACATTCGCCGTAACATATTAGAAAACTGCGCAGCGCGGTGTCTAACCGGTTTGCCATGCTACCGGTTAGGATGCCTAACCGGCTAGCGGATGACAGATCTGCTGATAGGTGGCTGCATAGCGAAGAGGCTAACCGGTTAGCTAGGCTAGCGGCTAACTGAAGCGCCTGCATATCGAGGTGGCTAACCGGCTAGTGGCTAACTGAAGCGCCTGCATAACGACGTGGCTAACCGGCTAGCTAGGCTAACTGAAGCGCCTGCATATCGAGGTGGCTAACCGGCTAGCTAGACTAGCGGCTAACTGAAGAAGTTGCATAGTGAGGTTGCTAAACGGCTAGCGGCTAACTGAAGCGCCTGCATAACGAGGTGGCTAACCGGCTAGGTAAGTTAGTGGCTGGTAGGAGTTGGTATTCATCACTTCCGTGAGCTCAGGTAATTGTACCCTTGTTTTAGTGCATGAAGGCGACACACTGTTTTATGTATAAGGCCCGGAATTAATACGGTGGGTTTGGTTTAACTTGTGACTTAGTTTTGCTTTCGCTGTACATTGTTGCATGTGGTTGTTGTGTGGTTCATATCTTGAAATTCGTCATTTGAATTGCAATTTTAAAACGCGTTGATCGTGAAACAAATTTACAATGTCCTTACGGGTTTAATGAATCGATCAGCTCTTTTAAATGATCTGAGTTGTGTAGTACGTCGCATTGTAAAAGGTAACTCAATATTAATTGAACGGTCAACAGTGGGGAAATGCAATACGTCTTTTTTCAGATCTCGTTTAATGTCTCGCATTACGGATTAATTGCAGAACAAATTTTAAAAATGGGGAATTATGTAATATGTCAACATCAATGCATTGCAGTATAAATATATAAATCAATGTAAGTAGTAGTTTTGTACGGATTTTGCTACACTAATGTTATGCGTTCAACAGTTGTCCATTATAATAATATATTCCATCATAGTTTCAATCTTAGCTGATCTGACAACGCAAAATAACTTCTGTGTGTGCCGTATTAAATAATTAAAAATATATATTTATTTTCCAGGAGTTCTACCAGATGGACAAAGACATGTCCGACAGGGAGCTTAAAGAGGCATTTGTGAGCAACTTAAATGGAACAAGCCTTGGTGAAGTGTCCCTGGGCTGTTTCCTTGCCCCTCTCTGTTTGCTCAGCAGGGGACTGGTTCTTGTTATATATCACCTTTGTCAGGGCATCCTTCCACTTTCCAGTAAGGTGCACCTTCTCTTGGACTTCAGCATCGTCATTCTGCCCCTTGTCCTATCCTGCACAATACTAAGTGACATCCTTCACCTTGTCATTGTGAGCATGGTAGCAGTAAATATCACTCTGCTTATCTACGTGTACCACATCAAAAAGCGCAGCATCTGCTTGCCCGTCCAAAGCGAGATCAAGAATTTTTTGTCAATGAACCTGGAGATGAATCGCGTCCCTTTCGTGACTGTCTTCCGAGTCCTCGTCAACGTGAAGACCGCGATTAGCATCCTTGCGGTTGATTTCAGCGTGTTTCCAAGACGCTATGCGAAAACTGAAACCTATGGGACTGGGGTTATGGATTTTGGAGTTGGAGCCTACATTTTGGCCAATTCTCTGGTCTGCCCTGAAGTGCGGAAGAAAGAAGGACAGGTGTCTACGTTTAGCGACGTATTTAAGCAATTGCTGTCTGTCTGGCCATTGATCTTTCTAGGAATGGCGAGGTTGATCAGTCTCAAAGTGTCAGGTTACCATGAGCATGTGTCAGAGTATGGAGTACACTGGAACTTCTTTTTCACACTGGCTATAGTTCGAATGGTTGCCTCAGTGCTGTTGGCTATATTCCCAGTAAAGAAGTCATGGATTTTGGGTTTTATTATTGCAGTAGCTTATCAGATGACTCTTGAGGCAACTGAGCTAAAGTCCTTTATCCAAGATAGTGATAGAACCAGAGGATTTTTAAGCGCCAACAAGGAGGGGTTGTTTTCAGTCATAGGTTACATAGCAATTTATATGGTTGGGGTGCAAATAGGATTTTACGTAATGAAAAGCAGAACACTGGTTAAAGACTGGATCAAAGCAATATGTAACCTTCTTTTGGGAAGTGTTGTATTATGGGTGTTTTTGTATCTTTGTCAGGCATTTGTAGAGCCAGTCTCTCGCAGGATGGCAAATCTTTCCTTCTGTATCTGGACTGTAGCCCAGTCCCTCCTTTTCCTTTCCCTTTTAAGCATTGCAGATCTAATTCTAGCCTTTGCAAAAATGTTATCAAATTGTTCCCTGGTGTCCTGCTCATGGGATCCAGTAAAAAATAGCAATCCCGAAAGCGTAGTACTTCACAAGGAAGTCAAGTGGAAACTCGAAGGACTCTGCCTCATTCAAGCTGTGAACAGGAATCAGCTGTTATTTTTCATGTTGGCCAACGTCATGACTGGACTGACCAATGTACTTGTAGATACAGTCAGTAGCCATGATTTGATTGCAGTGTGTATACTCATTTCATACATGTTTATCACTAGTCTTATCACATATGTTTTACATCGTAAGGAAATTACACTGAAATTCTGGTAACATATGAATGTGGCACATGAAGTGTAATATGTAATCTGTAAATAATTCTTTAAATAATGCACGTGGCTAATAAAATTGTGTAGTTCCCTCTGCATCCAGCGTACAGCCATTTATCATGGACAGGATCATGGGGGGATGGGGGATGCGGCCTATCTCAGGCATCATAGCACTACAAGACTGGGGTCCCCTCTGAATGCGATGCCAGTCCTCTGCAGGACACGCACTCACACGCTGCAGGCAGTTCAGAGACACAGGTTTGAACTGTGTGAGGAAACCCACACAAATGGAGAGAACATAACTCCATCCACACATTTTAAACCTGGGTGTGAGGCAACAGTGCTGCCCACTAAGTCCCATGGAAGATCGAAGAAGACCTCTTAGAGCCTCAAAAGGGGACACATTTAATCGTTCGCGGAAAAGCTGATGTCATTCTAACAGCTAGATGTACAAGGCTCATTATTTTCATATAAATAATTATTAAAACAAACCAAATGTATTATTCAACGTATGTTCTACATGCATTATGTATGGCTGGAAAATTGCTGTAAACGTATTCAGTTGATTTCAAAATCGCAATCTTAATCTGTATTTACTGCAACATCGAACCGTACCACCGTAATTTCACCGATCACAGACAGTCACCGCAGGTAACTCACCATCGCACTGCCACTCTGCAGCTTTGAATTTCCCACGCTCCGCCCGGCCTTCCGCGTGGGGCCTCCACCTTCGCGTGCCCGGATCTACGTTTTCGCTGCAGCGTCGCGCGGGTCAAAGGTCGCGCGGAGCTACCGACGGTTCGCCTGCAAGGGAGCGCCTGCTTGTTTTTCCACAAAAAAAAGGTGATTTTCTTTTTCTTCGAAACGAGGTACGAGCTAGTGTTGTTGGACTGTAGAGGGGCGCTCGGTAACTAGCGTGTGGCCGCCAAACGAGTCCAGCTGTGCAGGGAAAAGTCCAACTTAGTTAAGTAGGTAATCGGTAAGCGCTCCGAGTTAAGCCGGTTGTCTTCACGCCGGAGCGACTAGCGGGGCTGTCAGTGTCAGGCGGGCTCGGGCTCCGTTCGTCTTTGACTTTTCTCGAATAACGTAGAAATTGCTGCACGTGAAGGAGAACATAAAAGTAGCTTTTTAAATCTGCTGCACTTTTAAAATTTCTTTCTATGTGTTTCCTGTCAGCTGTCGTTCGTGGGGACGCTAATGTCACGTCTAGCCCGCGGGTTCTTGGAGTAGCAGAAAGCGACGCCTGTGTTAGTTCATAACTCCACGGTGCATGTCCGTCTTCCGCTGGTAGCTGTGCAGGGTTGGGGTTAGTTAGGGTCGTTAACGGCACCGTGGTTATCCGTACGGCTTTATGTGCGTCGCTGCCCCCGATTGCATTAGCTAGCTAGCTAGCCGATTTAGTGTTCCGGTGCCGAACGGTCTCCGTATGGCTGGACGCTGCAGCGTCAGGGTATTGCTAGCGGGTACGTTGCTTTTAGGCTGCGCCGGCTCTTCTGTAACGCTTCACGCAGGCTAGCTGATTAGCGGCTACGGTTATCCAGCGAGCTGAAGTTTGCCTTAAGTTCTGGTTAGGGGCGCTCCGGAGAGCCGGCCCGGTAGACAGCCGCCCTATTTTCGCCCTCCCTGCATGTCAAGCCACCGAGTTTTCTTTCCTGGTCTAACGGCGCCGCCGGACCTGCTCTGCCCCTCTCCCTGTCCAGGCGGCTAACTACCAGCGGGACGGAGACATGGCGCGTCTGGTGGCCGTATGCAGGGACGGAGAGGAGGATTTCCCATTCCTCGCCAGGCAGATCCCTCTGTACATCGACGACACACTCACGGTGAGTACGTAGGCCGCCGGGTCGCCTCGCTCAGTTCTTTTTATTCCCCTTCTGTGCGCGTTGAAGTTAGCTAACCAGGAAACTCCGGGCGAATAAACTGGCTCGGATGGAGTAGGCCGCAAACTAGCTAGTCGGCTACTGGCCCTGGTCCACAGGCCGTATTGCTACGTGCTTTAAAACGACACTTCTCGGATCCTTAGCTCGTAGTTGTACTTACCTGTCACGATCACTAATATTAAACCGCCCGGGCTGTGTGCTTCACTCAACGCCCGTTAGCCGGGCCTTAGCCGCGCACCAGTAATATTTCTGATTCTGTACGAGGTAGCTGCTCGCCTGTTCTAGCCCTCCTGCTTTCCTTCTGGCCAGTGACTAAGAGTCTTTATTTTTCATAAAGACTCTTAGTTGAAGGCATATTCGAGGGTTTTTAAGGGGTATCGTCGTGGTTCAGAAGGGTGTATTTCATCGGAACCACGACTTCACACTGTCTAATAGCAAGTAGTGTCTTTTGTTACAGAACAATATAAGAGTGCCAACCTTAATATTTCTCATTTGCTGTGTAAGGGGGGCTTTTAACTTGTATTACAAGTTCAGAAAAACAGTCGTCCGGTTGTAGTAACTCAGACTTTTAGCAATTACATATGCTCTTGAATTTAGATTAATCTTCCTTTCCAACAGTGTGGAACTACTAAAGTGGAAAATTAGGCAGCAAGTTAGTGTAGTGATAATGTATGCACTGCATTTGTAGTTGTTTCCTGTCATTGAACAGTTATCTGAAAAATTGTTATACACAAATATCAGTCAACCCCCAAGGAGTTGCATATGGATATCGATGCAGAGCACAACTGTTTCTGAAAATGCATGCAATACTTATTTCAGATGGTGATGGAATTTTCTGACAATATGCTGAATCTTGAAAGTCATCAGATAAACAGTTCACAGATGAAAGAATTCATACAGGTAAGGATGTCTCTATACCTAAAGCCAGAGAGCAGAAAAGCCCCCATGTAATAAATTGCCGGAAAACCCCTGCTTTCTTTAATTGGGTAATGGAATAACTGGAATTGCAGCATTATCTGAGAAGTGCAGTATAGTGTGGTAAAATACAGGTTAAGAAACTAATCATTTCTTTATCTACCTTGTATAGTGCAGAGTTTGGTTTTTAGCACATTGTTTTTTGTTATTCTAGTATTGGGGAAAGTTTTCAGTCTGGAGAGTTGCAGAATTTGTTCGTTAGACTCTTCAGGTTGTTTTGTTATCCATGCATCTGGAATAATCGCCCACGTTAATAAAATAATCTGTAAAATTAGGACCATTGCCACATAATACTTTTTAAACATGCTCTGCAGGTTGTGATAGAGAGTGGCACGATTTAAGTGACTTGGATGGGCTCACCACTCCTTTAGGTAGTGCTGCTTCACAGCTCCACGCAGGCAGCTTAAGTGAATCTGGCTCTAGGTGCTCCTAAGTGTTTGAATGAGTGAACGGAGATGGACTGGCGTCCCTTATGAGACACACCATCACATGCTCCCTTATTTTGCCTGCAGAGTCTTGATTATCGAGCCCTAAAACTGAAAAGTGTTTAATGAAACTGTGTGGATGTCTGGGTTCATACAAACCAACATGGAGCAACACAGATTGCAGCGCGGTTTTGACTTTGATCCTCCTCCATCCACCAGTTTCACAGTATGCTGAAGCAGCAGGATGTCAGCATTGCTATGATGGTGACTTCACGCGAGGTGTTCAGCGCGCTCTCCCAGGTGGTGCCTTGCGTAGGCTGCCGGCGCAGTGTCGAGCGCCTCTTTTCCCAGCTGGTGGAGTCTGGAAACCCAGCCCTGGAGCCCCTGGCTGTTGGCTCTACCGGCGTACTGTCAGTTACCAGGGCCTGCATGGCGGATGCCGAGATGCTGTACACGCTGTTCTACGTGCATGGGTACGGGTGTGACCTGGGGCTTTCATTATTTCATTATTTCAGAGCTACTGCAAAACTATGAGCTGGATTTGTGTGACTATTAAACATAATTCAAGTTGTGCACTTATAAGAGAATCGAGCAAATTATAAATGTAACATCAGTCTCTCCCTCTGGTAGCAGGCAGCTGTTTGCACATTAAGGGACTTATCAATTGCCATGTGTTTTACAGGTCAAAGTTAAATGATATGATCGACGCAATTCCAAAAAGCAAAAAGAACAAACGCTGCCAGCTGCACTCCTTAGATACACACAAGCCGAAGCCTTTGGGGTGAGTCTCCCTTAACATTGTCATTTGAAAGGACTAAAAGTACGCTTGTTTTTGGCAGCAAGGCCAGTTTGTCAGGTTTGGGATGTGTCACACTGTTGGTACACTGTTTTGTGTTATGGACAGGGATGTACATAACTGGTATGTAAGTACGTATTCACCTTTAAAAGCGATATGTGCAGCAATCAACTGTTGTAGCAGCACTAATGTGTTATTGTGTGCTTTTGCAAAGATATGACAAGAAATTATTCTGCATTTTCTTTTATGCTAATTATGCGGTATAACGGGTAATGTACAGTCTTTTCTTGTCGTAGCAGCACAAATACACATCAAATGCGTATGCATTTGTGCTGTTACAACAATTGATTGTCGCACGTATTGCTTTTTAAAGGTGAGTGCGTACTTGCGTACAAGTTATGTACATCACTGGTTATGGACTGAGTGTCCATTGGTAGAACGCATAGTAAAAGTGTACTCTTTAGCTGGATCAGCTGATAGGACTTAACATGGAATGGCTGTGAGGTCTCCAAAGGACGGGCTTGATAAACATGATTGAGTGTAGCGGAAGTAGGAGCGAAAAACCATCGACTTCCTGTGGCTCAGGCTGATCAAAGCCCTTGTAGTGTGCATACTTCAGTGTCTGCTGCTTATATGTGCTTTGTGAATTTCAGAGCCTGTTTTTCAGTGACCTGTCCATTCCACACACACTTTTCGGTAGCAGGCTGACTTCTTTAAATCAATGAGTTTTGCCAGTGTTTCCAGACTGATCACAAGCTCTGTAGTTGTGGGGACTGTGACCAGAAAGCAGATTCACACTGGTCTTTGAATCATTGGCAGCAGTGAGGCCTTTTAGTTAGTGGTGGCTCTCCTGATCTGTGAGTGTGAAATGGACATAGCAGAAGAGTGTACACTCCTTCCTCTGTGACACCCCGGCTTATGTGTGAGACAGCAGGAAGATGAACCCTTTACTGGAGTGATGTTGTTATCCATGGTCTTAATGGAGGTTCTTTCTACAGTGGAAGCTGGATGGATGTGTGGGAACTCATGTCTCAGGAATGCCGTGATGAAGTCGTCTTGATTGACAGCACCTGTCTCTTAGAAACTCTGGAGACATACTTGCGGAAACATCGGTGAGAGCTTTGGCTGATCTGTCCTAATCCTTTCCTGTTTCTTCCTTCCAAAATGTAGTCTTGTTGATTCCCATAAGCTGAGAATGTATAGTCACAGCTGGTTTCTTTTGTTTTAACCCCTTTCAGGTTTTGCACTGATTGCAAAAACAAGGTGCTAAGGGCCTACAACATTCTTATTGGCGAACTGGACTGCAGCAAGGAGAAGGGCTACTGTGCGGCCTTATACGAGGGCCTGCGCTGCTGCCCCCATGAGCACCACATCCACGTGTGCTGTGAGACAGACTTCATCGCCCATCTCCTGGGCAGAGCTGAGCCCGAGTTTGCTGGAGGGTATGAGTATGTAATTTGCTAGAATGGGCTTTCTAGCATTTTTATTGGCTTTCCCTCCCTCTCTCCACACACCTCTGTGAAGTCTGTTTTTTTTGTGTAATTTAGCCTTTGTTGGTCTTTTGATGATGAAGGTCTTGCTGCTCATATGTTTTGGGTTTTGGCTGTTTTATTGGTCATATAACTGTTCAGTGTCTCAAAAGGGCCAGCTTTGCTCCCTGGGCAGTGGTGGGCTTAATGGTTAGGGAAACACACTTGTAATTGAAAGATTGCTGGTTCGAATCCCCGACCAGCAAGGCACCACTGAAGTACCCCAAGCAAGGTACTGCTCCCTGGGCACTGAATTAGCTGCCCCCTGCTATGTCACGATGTCACATAAGGGTTAAATGCAGAGGACACTTTTCGTTGTTGTGCACTGTGTGGCATTGTGACATTGTGTCAACAATGACCACTGATCACTTAATTCTAATTTGTGCACTGGTGCACAGTCATGTCATCCCCAAACTGTTGTCACAAAGTTGGGAGCATGAAATTGTCCAAAATGGCTTTGAATGCTGCAACATTGAATTCCTTTCACTGGAACTAAGGGGCCAAGCCCAACCCCTGAAAAACATGTCTCCACTGCTCCAGAGTCCAGTGGCAGTGTGCTTTACACCACTGCATCCGACGCTTTGCATTGCACTTGGTGATGTAAGGCTTGGATGCCGCTGCTCGGCCATGGAACCCTATTCCATGAAGTTCTATATGCCCTGTTCCTGAGCTAATCTGAAGGCCACATGAAGTTTGGAGGTCTGTAGCTATTGACTCTGCAGACGGTGCAACTTCTGCACACTGTGCGCCTCAGCATGCGTTGTCCTCGCTCTGTGATTTTACGTGGCCTACCACTTCGTGGCTGAGTTGCTGTTGTTCCCATTTGCTTCCACTTTGTTATAATATCACTAACAGTTAACTGTGGAATATTTAGTAGCAAGGAAATTTCACGAATGGACTTATTGTACAGGTGGCATCCTATCACGGTACCACAATTGAATTCACTGAGCTCCTGAGACTGACCCATTCTTTTGCAAATGTTTGTAGAAGCAGCCTGCATGCCTAGGTGCTTCATTTTATACACCTGTGGCTATGGAAGTGATTGGAGCAGCTGAATTCATTGATTAGGAGGGCTGTCCCAATACTTTTGGCAATATAGTGTATGTGAGTTAAGAATCTTATCCCTTCCCTCTGGTACCAAGAACTACGTGCAGTGGAGCTAAAAGGAACCTACACATCAGGGTGAAAAACAAGACAAAATGTGTGGCTGTTGGACGAGATGCCACTTGGGGAAATAAGCACTTATTAAGCAGCATTTATTTTTCTGAGGCCACACATTTGTGGTTTGTGTCTTTGGGTGGCGTGTTAACGATGAGCTGTGGAATGCGGAGGACTGCCTTTACGTCTGTTCTGATGTTGTCTTCTAATGGGCCTGGTGCAACCCACTAGATGCAAGATGTCAGCTGGGGCAGATAAGACCATGAAAGCGTACCTTCCATCATCCTTAACCTGCAAGCATTCATATATTTACAGTGTTCATGGATGTGATGTTTCTTCCCTGAATGGATTAGTCTGCTGCAAAATAAAAACTTTCAGTCTAGCATGTGATTTGTGGTGATGTGGTGACAGTGTCATTGCCCACGCCTTCTGAATAGGTGGCTCAAGTCTCAGTTCATTGCCAAGGTTGTATTTATTGGAGGAGGCATCTTCTGACTCTCGGCTTCCCTTCATATGGATGGCAAAGCACACTATTATGAAGCATGCGTAACACATGTGCACACTTCTGAACCACACAGAGTGAAAATGTAGGATTTACTTTAAAAATTACTTGCTTTTTGGTTTTAGGCGCAGAGAGAGGCATGCGAAAACCATTGATATCGCTCAAGAAGAAGTCCTCACGTGTTTGGGTATCCACCTGTATGAGCGCTTGCACAGAATCTGGCAGAAATTGCGGGCTGAGGAGCAGACATGGCAGATGCTGTTCTATCTCGGCGTTGATGCCTTAAGGAAGAGCTTTGAGGTACGTCCGTTTATCGAAATGCCCGGATGGCATTTCGGCACAACGTCCGTCAGACTTATGGCCCCTTCTGCTCTTGTCAGATGGCAGTGGAGAAGGTACAGGGGATCAGTCGGCTGGAGCAGCTCTGTGAGGAGCTCTCTGAAGAGGAGCGCGTGAGGGAGCTGAAACAGGAGAAGAAGAGGCAGAAGCGCAAGAACCGGCGCAAGAACAAATGCAGTTTCGACATGCCCGAGCAAGACATCGAGGACAAGGAGAAGGGCTTGGATGAGGTGATTCTGCAGTTGTGGAGGGGCAGCATCCTCCTGCCTCTGCAGGGGTATCGCTTTGCCCTCTGACTCAGTCAGATTGGGCTGCTTTCTTCCATGCAAACATCTGATGCTGCAGCCTTTGGCTGTTTTTCTAGTTGGTCACCTAGGGGGGGGGTTTCACTCAAAATATAATCAATATTAATGGTTACTGTATGATCTAAGCACAGATCTGAAACTGACTGACATGACATGGTTATTCCTACTTTGCACGCTCAGATCATTTGGCACGTTGCCTTGCGTTCGGTTAACCCGGCCTGTGCCGCACTGCACTTCTGTTAAATCCTAGGGTTCTTTTGAGGCCATGGAGGGTGGCTGTGAAGCCTGCGGTAGTTCAGAGGACTCCGTCGCCTGCGTGGAGGTCATCGTCACCAACGAGGCCACATCCTGCAGCTGCCCCGACAGGGAAATGCTGGGATCCCCAAAGGCCAAGAAAGGTACGTGCTGAACTGGGCCCAGATGCAGTTGGATTGCTGGTTCAGGTAGCAACTGGTAGCTGTTTGGTTTGTGCTATAAATGACCATTTAAGGGCATGTAATGGAACACTTGTATCCACTGAATACAGTTTCTGTAAAGGTGTGGCATTAAACAGTCACTCTGAAGTTTTTAAATACTGTGCGGTGCTAATGGGTAAGCCATTCAAAATGGAATTATTGTGATATGTGGGCAAGTATTGCAAAACTGTAGTAAAAATATAAAAGTGTGTCTGTTTTGGCATCGGGTATGTAAACACATTTAAACACAATAAAAGCTGTAATAAGTGGAATGCCTTTATGGATGCAGTTAAATCTGTAAATCCTGTGACTCCGCTTCTCCCCAGAGAGACTGTCTTATCTGTGTGTTACTTTCTGTTTATGGTAACATGTCACTTTGTTACCTAGAGCACCAGCAATAATTTGCTTTCATCTCATGTTTCTGAGCAGCTGTGAGAGAGATGTTAACCGTGGTAGTTGTACTACAAATGTATAAACAAATTTGCCCTTTGAAATGATTATCCAAGCACTGTTTATACATGCTTGATGTAGATCAGTGAAGGTGAATGCAGATAAAATGGGTTTGCTGGTCATGTGTTGTTGTCCGGTACTGTCCTGGTGTGGCCCTTCACGCGAGACTGGATCAGGTTTATGCTGAAATGAGCTGAAGGGTTAATGATCGTATCTGTCCTCCTTCCTGTACGACACGCAGGCCAGTCGCCCCACAGCCACGGCAGCGATTGCGGGTACTCCTCCAGCATGGAGGGCAGTGAGACGGGCTCTCCGGAAGGCTCCGACGTGGCCTGCACCGAGGGCATCTGCAACCATGACGAAACAGGTTTGTCCCACACATGCCGCAGTATGCTCCGGGGCCTCCCCCCCCTCCCCCCACGGGCCTCACCCTGCTTCTCTCCCCCTCAAGAAGTTGATTACTCTTGCGGCCATCGCTGCAGTGTGGACAAGGAGGAGGACGGCATCGACAGCTGTGTAGAGTGCTGGGCCAACGCTGAGGAGAACACTAAGGGCAAGAGCAAGAAAAAGAAAAAGAGCAAAGGCATATCTGGCGAGCAGGTGAGCCCCCCCCCCCAGGGACCAGCTGCCATCCAGCATATCGGCTGTTTTTAATGCGCCTCTCACAAGCTTCGCCTGCCTCACCAGGGTCATAAAGCCAGTGGCGGCTATGGAAACACGGAAAAGGCGCTTGGTGCATCGATGGCGTGCAGGACCAAAGACACGTGTGTGACACTCTGCTGCGACGCTCTGACCAGTGCCGCCCTCCGGCTGCCGTGGGCCGAGCACCGGAAGACCAAGAACTACTTTCCAGGATCCCCAGAAGTAAACCCATGTGTGCACTGGGACAGGAGTGTAAAAACACTAATGGAACTCCTTGTGAGTATATGTTTAATCCTGCATTGTGTTATAGCTGAATGCAGAAACAAACATCTCGATCAAACACAGCCCTGCATGTTATTTTTGTCAATTTAACATCTGAAAATGTTACATACGAATGGGGAAAAAAAAGTACTTTTTAATCTGCTAATTAGCCGCAGTGAATTAGGCACTTTAATGTAGTATTGTGCTGAAACTACTGCTCTGCATATCTTTTTTAAACGAATGAATTTATTTGGGTTAAATGTACTGGATATGTGCTTCAGGGTGAACAGTCTGCTGGCTTGACTGTGCAGCACTGATTCGATTCCCACTTCCACATCTCTGGGGTTCTTATGTTCTCCCCATGTTGGGAATTTCCTCCTTGTGCTCCCGGTTCCTTCCACGGTACTAAAACACGCTGATTAAACAAATTGCCACCTCTAAATCATCCTGTGAAGGCCTGGTGTTACATCCAGTGTGCCTAGGTATGCAAGATGGATGGTGCAATTAACTCCTGAGTATTCACAGTGTAATTACAGTGATCCCCTGCCTATCGCGGAAGTTGCGTTGCAGACCCATTAGCGATAAGTGAAAATCCGCGATATAGAGAAACCATATAAATGAACTTTTTTAATATATATAGTTTAAGCCTTAAAATACCCCTCCCACACGCTTTTAAATGCATGTAAACTTATTAAAACACATTTTGTAAACACATATGATATGTGGATGCTGGACTAAGGATATGAGTAATAATAATAATAATAATAATAATAATAATAATAATA